ATTTACTCCGCTTTAGTTATGAACAAAAATTAATGCAAAAAATCGAAAATAAGCTGGATTTTGTTGGCGTCTTTCAAACACGAGAACGTTCTGAAGGTCTTCGTTTTTATGAAAAAGTATATGAAACTCATAATCAGCAGTAACCGCATAAAAAAATAAAAATCGTGAAATAACTGAAAGTACTGTATACCGAGAATTTGGGAAATTAAGTAAATCCTGTTTAGCTCCTGCAGTAAAAGTCAACTTCTGACATATCCTGATGAATCTGACAAATGCTGACGAAAAAACTTGGAGAAAACTCTCCATCACATGTTCTCCATTTCTTTTATCATCACTAAGACTGCATGAATTTTAACTTTTTTCGGAAGTTATATATTCTGAAATAGCAATTTCGGTGAAACACTGTACGTTTTGGGAATGGCCAGTACCGTATTATAACAGCCCATTTCAGGAGAAAATATGAAGATTCATATGTGCATAAATCCGAGGTATGAAGCAGAACTTCGTCAATCTCGTTGAAAATGCATTAATGTCATTGCAAAACTCGCGGACGAAAATCCGTATACAACACTCCCTAAAAAGCATCTAGATTCTGATAAGAAAAATGAACTGAAATTTTTGTTTGAAGTGAAGTTTCGGTGATTCATCAATCACGTGATGGAAAAGTGTACAGCAAACTTTCAAAAGAGACGCGAGTAAATACGTTTATGTGCTCACGTAGTGAAACTTGCTTAGAACGAAGAATACGCTACGAAAAGATATATCCAATGTACTTAAACATACTGGTACAAAAGTGAGCGTCCAAGTTTCGGTTTTCGGGTGATTAGCTATGCTAATGACTCTCTTAGTAGAAAAACTCGGTTCCCTTCTAAACCCTGTTCATTTCCCAAGAATGCAAATGCTGCACTAGAGGAAAATCCCGTCCAAATTCCAAACAGTACATGCTTAATGCATGTGAGTCTTCACGTTTTCAAATATAAAGGTTTTGAATACTCTTTAAAAATTTTAATACCTTCTGCGCTTCTTCAGCATACAGTACAGTATTGGCCTTAAAAATGTCATGCTTCCTAAATAAATTTGTACAAGCTTTTTTGACAGCTAAGCAAGAACAAAGCCATTATGTATATTTGAATATACTCGCACTTTAAAAGCTGGTCCGCATGTTATTCCACAAAAATGTTCCTTTAAGATTTTACCGCTTTGAGTCAGTGGAATCTAATTTCTGCTGATTAGCCAGAGAAGCACGTCTTCGGTCTAATGTGTTTAACCAAGCAGGTAACGAATCAAGATTATATGATTATGGGGTCTTCATATAATAACGTTAGAATAATCAACGCATCAAAACAGATGGATTCAATTAGCGGAGAATAACTTTTCGCGAAAATCACGAGTGAACCACTATAGCAGAGTCGCCACAAAGTTCGTGGCTTTTTCTTCGACTGTTTTTCCAGAAGTTTTTTTTTTTTTTCGTTGGGAAACTTAAATATGAAATCTTTGTCAAAATTCTGACGAGCATCAAGCGGAAAATTTGGCACAAATTTTTGTCGTAAACATTTTATCGCACTTCAATTTAAGTTTTCTTCGGATTTCCGGCTTGATTCAAATCAATGAATCTATATGACTATATAGCTTCCACAGATCCCCTCAATTCTAATTCCGCTTTTACTCTTTATAATGGCTGAAATTATTTTCTCATAATTTTTTGAAGCCTGAATGAGAATTTTGTTTCAGCTTTGAAGGCATAAAAATTATGGTGAACCACGCGTACAGTGCGGAAATTGGTGTCGGGTAACAGCATTCGAGGACGCCTACAGTACCAGCACAGAAAAATAAAACTAATCGGAGAATTAAGTTCATATTTTGCAATAGCTTGTATTAAAAGGATAAATCCAAAAGGTTTTGAAAATGCAGCATTCGTAACGGACCATCATGCGTTGTTTTTACCACAATTTATCCACCTTTCTCATCGTGATTCTCGGCTGAAACTCTTTTATAGACTATGGTAAATTTTTTATGCTGCGCATCACCCGGCCGCAATTTCCGAATAAATAATTAGCACAAAAGTCTGATAATGAGAGTCATGATCCAAGGTAAATTTGACTTTACGTGTAATGGAAAAGGCCATTTTGAGGAATCGAAGGCTTCGAATCGTGACACAAATGAAGCGATTCCGCGGGAAATGTCGGTCGAATTACGGGTAGGAAATCATGGCACGTCTTACGGCGGAATCTGCCGTAACGGGGCATGAACCCCTTGACGGGGAAAATCGCCAGGCGGATTTTCCAGTCTTATGCAACCCCATCCTGGAGCAGGAACCAGAGGATGGAGCAGAAATCCGTTCCTAATGGCTGCCATGAAGAGCACCTGATGCCCCTCATGTCTGGGGTCCAATTTCGGGTCCTGGCAGAAGTTCGTGTCATGACTTATGTTGTAGTACTTGCTCGGCTGGAATTGGCGAATGTAGTAGAAAAAAAAGAAGAAGCTACGCAGAAAATTTTCAGAGCCGTGAGTCAGTGGAATTAGGCGCGGAAATCCGCTCATTATACTCATTTTATATAAAAAAGGATCCTTTCAACGTGGGAACATATTATATGACATCATCAATAAATCCAACTTTAAATTACTGCAATTCACTATTCTCCTGGTTCTGAGTTACAGTATTTAGAACAGCCATAATTTAAAATTCGGTTTAAAGAAAAACTATAGGGAAAGCTCTACTTTTATTTTATTTTTTTAAGCACGAAGAACTCTGATATGGCTGTAACTGGAGTGGAAAGCTTCTTTCCATGTCATCAATGCATACCAGTTAAATGAACAAAAAATTGTAAAATGTAAAAAAATAACTCCCAGAACCTTAGAACATCGTGGGCTATATGTCCCGGATGCTTTCTTTTAAATCACATTTACTCTGGGAATATATAAAAGGTCGCGGCTACTTCGGACAACTCTCGCATATTCAAGTGCAGTACAGTATAATGGTCGAGAATGAGGGGGACAAGTTCGTTGACTTTCGGACTGACCTCGTCTGTTGGTAAGTCAGAGGTACTCCATATTCCGTCTCCATCCTCGGGATCCGAAGTCCACTTCTGTTCCTTCGCCATGCAGCTATACCTACATCCATCAGGCAAAAGGGGGGTTGCAGAGAAATCCTATAAAGAAATCCCGACCGACGCATTTCCTCTCCGCCCACCTCAGAAATCCCCGTGCCATCTGCCCTGAGCTTTCCTGCCTCTTTCTGGCGTCATGAGGGAAAAATGAGAGCAGCACACTGCTGCTGCATTTGCGTAAATGGCACTATGCTGCATCCGCGTCGAATACATTCCTTCTTTCAGTAATATACCTTTTCTTCTCTCATTTTTCTGTGCGCGCATCTTATATTTCGAGAAATCCGAGGAATACATACCACACATGCAGGCTTGCGGAATGATAAGAGCGTCGTATCTTGCTATCGACAGCCGGTGTCAACAACAAACCCTTGGATGGGGGTATACGTGCCACGCTCCGCGGATGGGCAAAAATGAATGGTCCTGCCGCTGCCAAGGATACGCTCATCAACATCAGCAGTGTCCTCTCGAAAACGCAATAAGAGCGTTTTAGGAAATGGGCTGCTTTTTTTGTTGTTTCGTTATCAGCAGCAGGAGAGATCGCGTGCGATCAGCAATATTGAAGAATAAAAGTTTATGAAAAACGAGCATTTAAGAAAGTGCATGCATGAATTAAATGACGGACGGTGTCATAATTCATGGATTCACTTCATACCTGGCGACTGGCGAGAGGAAAGTGCGCACTATCAAATTCAGAGTTACACAACAGCAAGCGGGAATTCAAGATCTGGTGCTGTATACAACAGCATGTACAGTAAAGTACTGTACTGTATTCAAAATTACGTGTGCACAAAACAGCAATAAGTAGCTATAAATACGGCAAGCGCAAAATATCAAGTATCAAAACCTTGACTGCAAAAAAAAGCTGTACAAAGTATCACAATTTCAGGAGGAAAATGTTATCCATATTATTTCGCATTACGTAATCCTGCTAAATTTAATGGAAATTATTATTTTTTTAAAGAAGACAGCTTTTTTTGCAGTTGCAATTTACAGTCACTTGCTGTTTTGGGCACACATAAGCGAAAAAAATGAACCTATTTTCAGTTTCAGGCATGAAAAGAGGAAACTATAAAAAATTGGACGAAGAAATCAATCCTCAAAAAGTAGCAGTGACGTACAGTTCAGCAATTCAACATTGATTCCTTCAATTAGACAAGATTACTTTTGGATGTACAATGTTCTGTATACCGTAGTCACTTTTTCATGCGTAAGCTCTTCCACTGTGAGATTGCCAACAAGTACAGTACTGTATGTATATTTCCCAGCTATATGGCCACTTGGGTGACCTTTGGTCAAACCAAAACTCACTGGCACCCTAAAAATCCCCACATTACCAAGCAATGGAAAACAACTCCCCACTGCTAAAAGGTCAACTAATATTCCTTGTGCATGAGCCCCTCACAATTCAACTTACAAGATTTGATTATATACTACAGGTGAGCTCACTCAACAGCTATCTTGTCTAAAATATTCTCTGTACAGTATGACAAGTTTTTCCAGTCCTTGAATTTTGTTGCAGAGAGTCCTACTTTACAACAGCCTACAAGAACCAAAAACCTCTGCCAGTTCTCCAGGTGGAATTAACAATGTGTCCAAAATGCCAAATTTCCCCCAAAAACACACATAATACCTTCCCAAGGTTCACCCAATGATTTTGACAGAGATTAATTCTGTGCAACCAAAGCCACTTCCGCCCCATGAGAAACTGCATGAGCAGAATGCGCCGCATTCTCCCCACACTAAATGACAAGTAGGATTACAAATGGAGCCCCCTTTTCCCTCCCGAGTTGAAAGCATGTATCTCCTCTCGAGTGAAAGACCTAACACCGTTATCGTGATGAAACTTCATCAGGGATCACGAGTCATTAGGCCAAGATGGCAGCATCCTGATCTGGAGGATTCACTAGAAGAGATTTCGCAGGATAACACTTTCCCGACGTTGGTAAAAACCGATTAGCTGAAGAAAAAGAATAAACCCGCAGAAGCATAGTAATTCACAGTAAACGCATACATTCAATGTATTCCTGAAAACTCAAAAACATCAATACTGTTTGGCAATGCAAAAAAACAAGCATCAATAAAATGTTATCGCAATTTCATCGATGAAAAGAACAAAACAAAAACGAGAGCTGACTCGGAGCTTTGACCGCTGATTTCCATTCCGTTTACAAACCATGAAAAGGTCGACGGGATGTGACTGCACACCACGGGACTACAATGAACACACCGTTTCCAAGCATTCTTACGACATATTTTTGGCATATTCTCGGAAGAACATTGAGCAGCAAGAATGTATGATAGGTTAGAGATCCAAAACCGACAATGTGAGCACTGGAAATGTGGTAATGACCCTCGAGCTCTCATCAACAAAATTCGTAAATCGTATTCCTAGACATGATTACTCTCACATACTGGACACACGTAAAAAAAAAACCCGCGAAGATGAGGCTTCAAAATCTGGCAAGACATTCAGTAGAAAAAGTAAGAAGTTTCGTTTCCTGAGTTAAACACGACGTTGAAAGGCAGAATTCCTTGAAAGAATTCTCAAGATTACAGCTCATCGAATGCAAAAGAGGCACCAAGTCTGGAATAAATGTGAAGAGTCATGGCTTTCTTTGTTCCGATATTTAAAAATGCAAAACGTTTCCGCATTTTTTTCTTTTTTAAAATTCATTGAGAATTTCCGCTCGCTTTTTCTGTCACTTTGAGGAGTACGGAGATTCCATTGTCGACTAGATCTTCGTTGGGTTCATGAGTTTCCTCAGCATTTTTTGCTTTAGTTGACTCGCTCCATCCCGTTGGAATCCTTCAGTTCTTCATCCAATTCCAACACTCGAACACCTTTTGTCACAGGTTCCACAGTGTCCTGAAATTTTGAAATAATTGAAGCTGATAATTCGAGAGTGAATTATGAAAATAAGTTCATCATAGAATATTTTGCAGCGGAAAAAGCTTTCATTAACAATTCTCAGACAATCTTTAAAAGAATCGCTTGCGAGGGCAAAAAACAGGCAATCCCTATAAGGAGTTGAATTTGAAGATCAACTAAATTCAATCTCGGTTTCAATAGGTCACGTCGACATCGAAATATTTTCAGTCCCTTTTCTGTGGGCACAGAGGTTCCCGGTAGGGAACTGGTCGATCTAAATCTAAAAATACACCGTTACACAAGTTTTCATCTCATCTGTCTCCATGAAATCGTAAAATATTTTTATAACAGACTTTTGGGGACTTCAGAAAAAGTTTATTATATCGAATAATTTGTTATAACGTGTTTTCAAAATCAATGACCGGAAAAAATGTCACATTAGATCTGCCCACAATAAAATAGATCTTCCTTTCCTGGCATTCTCAGATTTGCATTATCGTTTGAAAAACTGAGTGATCTTCTGAAAAAATTGACTTCAATCATGCATTCAACATGACACACCAATATCTTCATTCTTGGAGGATGATGTGTGGAACCACTTGGAAGCATGACAGCTTCCATTCATGTTACAATAACCAGTCATTCAAACTCGGGATCAGAAATTTCAGGCTGTGCCGGTCTTAGTCAGGAAATTTCTACCTGGAAAATCTGTTGAACATTCCTAAAAAAAATTTTATTTCATATTAGAACGGTAAGTTTGTTATAACGAGATTGTTTCAACATGTACTCCGAGCGCGTTCTGCTGGGTCTCTCGAAAAACTTTGTTGTACTGAAAATTTGTCGTAACAAGAATTTACAGTACTTCATCATCTTCATGTGCTTCTTGATTATCCAGGATCTAGTACAAAAATAAAACATTGTTGCAGGAAAATAATACTGCAACAAATTCTCGTCAAAACTTTTGTAAAAGTCAAGTCAATTTCTGCATGGCTCACGAAATGACGGATATTTCAGTGCAATTCTAACCCAGATCAGCAGTACCTGACTTTGAGGGATTAAAGTACTTGAATCCAGGGAAAAAATTTCGTTTACTCACATCAGATTTCATCTCGCCGGAACTCCGGTCATCTCCAGATGGCGTGTCACCAGAAACGCCCGAGTCCTCTAGACTGGAATCAGCCTCGAGGGGCGCCGGTGACTCGTCACCACCCGCAGCCACACCGACACCAGTAGTCCACAGTTCCGTCGGCATGCTGAACGCCCGTCTCAAGCATTGGAATTCCTCAGATTTTACACAGCGAGGCATCGTTGCACACGCATACACATAGGTGACTTCATATTCTGGCGTCTCTGCCACGTCCAGCTTGACTTCAGCTTCTGGCAAAGGTCTCGTTTCCGCAGTGACCACGATCTCGTCGCAGTTGGCGAACCCGGCCGGACTGGGCAACTCACTGTCAGGTTGCGAACTCGGCGGTCGTTGTCGAACAAGTGGAGCCATGAGGACATAATCATCCCGCACGCCGACGGGATTCACTACCTCTCGTTCTATGGATGTTTTTCTCTCTGGAACCAGTGACTCGACTTGATTCGCTCCCTGAAAAATAAATGTCGCATATCGTAGTCAAATCAACACTCGAAATTGCGGGAAAATAAATTTTTAAAAAAGTTCCTTATTTCTGATTTGAATCAGCCTCGAGTGTGATTTTGTGTGAAGGTCGTTCACACAAAATTGAATACTTCGTCCGTCGAACAAATATATTCCCAGACATTTCCACAAAAAAGGTTCAAATACGAAGATTTCATATTTTATGTATCCGTTTGAAAAATACGTCGGGTGAAATCAAACCTTCATGGAATCCATCACTTAAACGTTTCAGGAGTACCTATAGCTTCATCCCAATAGTCATTAAATGCGAAAACTAGAAAACCATGCTGACATTATAAAAAGGTACAAATTTATTTGGACAATTGCCAAAAAGGATCTTTCGAGAGGATTGGAAAAATATCAAAATCAGTATACTGAAAAATCAAGCATGAGCACTACTTGCACGGAGATTACTTCTTATTCAACGCCCAAACATACGTCCTCACTTCTTCGGTACAACCACTTGTCAACCCAGTGTCAAACGGTTAAGCTTACACTGCGCAAATACGAAGGTAACCAAATCCCTTGCATAATAATGTGAAGTACTGTATACAGTCTATACAAAGCTTGTAAACATTTCAGACGAAATCTGTTCAATGGCAAAGAAAATGACGACGTCGAGAAACAATGCGGAAAAAACCCAAGAGCTGCGAAATTAAGACGAAGTTGAAAAATATTTTCGTTTGGTTTTCATCTGCAGAGATATAGGCGCTTGATGATAAACAAAAAATGCATCTCAATGAATAGATTTCAACACACTGATTGAACTTACTTCGGATAAAGAAAATAAACTTCGAAAGCAGGATTTCCGCAGACGCTTCCAGCGGAAATCAACCAAAATAATCCTAGTTTCTTTCACCTGTTGAGAGTGCAGAGGAGGATGCGCCCGCGGCGGTAAAACTGGCAAACCAGATTCCTTCTTCACGTTCTCATACAAGTCCAGCGTTTCGGCGAACTCCAAATTTGCGTAATTCCCCATTCCAGGACCTCGAACAGCCGGCGGAATCGGAAATGCTGGACGACTCGGCCGAATATTTGCGTACATTTGCTCCCCGTTGAGCATAGATTCCGCAGCAATGGCGGACACCATCGGACAACGTGCACCAGGACGAGGAGGACCAACGTATCGAACTAGTCTCGTAACGGCTGGTCGCACAAATCTCGGGTGTGGATTATTGTAAAAATCCATTCGTTGATGAGGAATGATATTTGACGGCTGGTTGAAACGCGGGGTATCGTAAAATCTTGGATCGTATTGAGGCTGCATATAAAAATATATGAAGTACATCTTTAAATCCTCTTGAGGAATTACCGTATTCGGTCAAATGCATGAAAATAGCAATGATAGGATGCACCATCAACAGTTTCACAATACAACAAAAAACTGTTGAACACAGTGAACGCGACTACTACGGCTAAATCAATTACAGTACATCGTACGGCAGAACGCAGAGCACAGTAACCCAAATGGCGTCCCTTCGATTTCCCCGTGACGTAATGATTTCGAGAGATAAAATTCTGAAAAACTGTTCCACACAGGGAACAATAAGGAGACGTCAACTTTCTCAATTTGAATCTATCTAAATATCAATTACAGTACTTCGAGTTGCAGAACACAGTGACCCAAATAGCGTTCCTTGAATTTCCTCGTGACACAATGATCTCGAAACATAAAATTTCATGACAGGTTCATATTTAGTCCTCACCTTGAAATGATCGGGATTCGAACGCTGATTCGCTTGTTCCATCATGGCCCGAGAGCCAACGATCAGCCCGTAACGATTACGTAAGCTACCTTGTTGAGCGAAGCCATCGCCTTGGCAACAACATGGACCTTGCGTCATCTTCGGTCTTCCGCAGGAATCGCATCGTTCGCAAAACGACATTGAGGTCGACATTTTTGAGATCCCATTGGCAGAAGCAAAATTATGTCTGAATCCCGGTGGAATGACAGCAGTGATCACCTTCCGCGGTCGATCGTAATTCTCCAGTATGGCAGCATCTCCCATGCCGGAACTGTTCACCAACCAAAAAAATACAAAAATTGAAATTGGTTATCAGAGGAAAAAGTTTCGAAAGATCACACGTCATCATCAAAGTACCGTAGCCGAACGAGAAAGGCGCACCAGCGCGCAAATACGATCAAAATGGATATTGCACACACGAGGCACTGAAACGGATAGACGATAATGTTCAGGTCATGGTACTGGTTAAAATATCTGATGTTCAGCTGATTAACATCAGCGAGATGATAATAACCATATGGCACACAGCGAAGGAGCCTTTCCAAGGAATATCAATTTACAGCAGTAAGTAATGAATACAATCTTGAACAGGAATTGTTTATTTATGCAGTACTTCATACAATATATGCTGTATAGTATATTTTTCAAAAGCTCACCAACTGTTCGAGTTCCCCGGGTAGGAGAATCCGGCACAGTACTCGGAGTCCCTGGATCGACTTGATGTTCCGTCTGAACCCGGAACATGACCGCTGTCGTCGGAACAAATCCCATCCATCTTCCACGAAGGACTGAAGGAATCTTTCTTGCTCAGTCGAAGATGGGGATGCATTTTCTTTGGAGTTGTAGGACCCACGCTTGTGGTTGACATTTGCCGCTGAGCGAACTGGGGATTGAACTTGTTCTTGTTCAAAATCATCGACGAATCTGGTGTATCCGGCCGACTCATGGCACTGACGGAGTGCGAGCATTCCCCGCTACTTCCGGATTCTGCACAAGAATTGAAACCATGATGCAAATACTGCACTTCTCTGAAAACAAGATATTTTCATGGAACACATCACAGTGCATATGGTACTATGCTCCGAATAAAAAAAATAAAATAAAAATGGGTGCTCTAAAAGTCTCCACATCGAATAACATTGAATAATAATAAAGAATACAAAGAATACAGCATCTGAATCGGAGGACAGCTGAGAAACATATAGTCGGCAATCGTAAAAAGCTACAAGAGATGGTCCAACAAACCAAGCTAACACTTCATGAAATGTTACAATGATGTTGTAAAACCTTCATGAAATAATAAAACGCTTCATATAAAAAAAAAAATTTTAAAAAGATGTTCCAGGAACCTGTTGACGACCATGGTGTACCACATCTGCAATGCAAGGTTCGACGACTTTGACTAGTGCCAATTATTGATCCAGACAAAACAGATCCGGATACTAGAGAATGTTTCGATTCCCCATGACTCAGACATCCGGGTTTCGGACTCCCTGGTGCTAGAACACAAAACACATTAATTCAGGACGAATGCTTCAAAAAATATATTGGAAGTCATTCAGAACCAATAACACTAATGAATCATCCTTCATGCATAATTTCTAATGCAAACAATTTCAAAGTAAAAAGACATTGAATTACTTTCAATGAAGAATATCGGACAGTGAATTCAAATCGCGACCTGATTTTAGTTATCAAGGGATTTCAGGGTGTGACATAGCCATTTTTTTTTCGTTCAATTCACGCATACAATTTGAAATTGCCTGCAACTCACTGTTACAACCAGGGTTCCGACTTCGACTTCGTTTTCCTGGCTTGATGAGATTTCCAGCGGCGGCTATTTTGAATGCAGATTCAATTTCTTTCCGCTGCGCGGTAGCGACTACGTGAATTCCCATGCCTTTCTGTCCACAGGAACTTCCACCCTCCCAACAGAAGTGGCCATCCACAACGCCATATCGTCTGTAAGAACACACCAAACGGATACAGCCAATTCTGCAATGCTTCATCTTCTCAAGAGGAAATGAAGAAAACAATAAAAATAAGAACTGTAACTCTCGACTGTGAAATTGAGGTTAATATCTTTGAAATCTCATGGCCAGAAAGGAAATTACGACGAACTCACGGTGGAATGACTGCAAACATCATTGCCCGCGATCGATCGTATTTCTCAAGTGAGGCAGAATTTTCACGAGTGGGAGGTGATGATAATGGATGTAGAATCGTCCACGATTCATATCTAATCTCCCAGAATAACAGATTGCTCTTGGAAAGCATAAGCGAACAAACCTGAGGTTGGCGATTTCCCACCGATGGAGCAACTTCGGGGGCGGAGAATCTGCCGAAGTGAGGCAAAACCGAATGTTGACCAAATGTAACATGGCCGGAATTCCATTCCCAATTTGACTCGTAACGTGGCCCGAAAGTTGCGTACAGCTTGTTCTAGGCGCGCTTTCGCCTAAAGCCATTCCACATTTGGATTTCGGTGGAGCTGACGTGACTTCAACTTCAAATTGCACAGCTGTAGAACACAAAAAACGCATACGTAAATCAACCAGGTTATTTTCTTTGACGGAAAAAATACGATTTCAATTTCGCTGCATTGCTTGAAAAATACGAGAATCAATCACAATAAGAGTACTGTACAATGAAATAAAAGTTTTTCCGCGGAAAATGGACTGCGTTTAGAATTCAACTGGGCTGAGAAATGCTTTTAACATAGGATATCAACGAATTTACCCGTGTACTGTACGTGCCACATAAGACACGCACAGGAGTTTTTTTTTTCGGGGAACTCTACTGTATAACTATAAAAATGTATACAGTACTGTATTAACATTAATATACATGAAAAATATCCACGTAGCCTTTCATTACAGAGTATTTGTGTGTGAAGTGTGCCGGATTTTTTTAGATTTTTCGTGAAAAAATAAAATTAATAGACGCGTAACACATGAGCCTATTCGGCATAGTTTTACAACGCGTGGAATTCTCCGCCATTCTTCTTAATGCCTCTCTTTGAAACTGTACGACATTTTTATAATTTATAAGATTTGTTTCACGGATTCATATTTACGCATCGCTGGACACCGTTAAACCTCTGGAATTTTTTGGATTCGCTCCCTGCTGGACTTCACAGGCAATGATTTTTGCCTTTCCCGAAGTTCATTCGTGACTTTGCCTCAATGAAAACACTCCGTCGTATAAAAGCCATTCTGACTTTCTTGGACCCTTCCGAGTCTAGAAACGCGCAGAACAAATCACTGGGCACTTGGGCAGCAAAGGCGATTATAGCATGAAAGGTTATCTTATATTCAAACTCGTCGTTCACCAACAGGATCACCTTTTCAAGACCAGTTGCTCTCGCATATACAGTACAGTACTGTAAATTTCGTGATTTTGTGCACGTCGTTCAGTACACTGAGTTCAAGTGGGGATTCATAAAATCCAAAATGTTCGAGAAACCTCATTTTCAGGCAATAATCACAGATAAAACTAGTCCTGCTTTGGGCTGGAATACAACAGCAGATACTTCCTGATAGCACGCAACTGAGCCTGCTGCTTTCGCAGAACTCCAACGATCAATTGCAATTAATGCTTATTTAATAATTGACAGTCTAATACTGTACGATAAACCGAAGGATACCTGCAGACACCATATATTTTATCCTATAGTATGATTTGATGAAGAATAAATCTTCCGAACTTCACGAACCTTCGCCTAGATGAGATGTGATTTTGGCCTGCCACTGAATCAGCCGCTCCCTGGTATCAAAAGCGAACACGAACACGCCTTCCTCGATAATCAATGCCATCGTGTTGCATTCTTTATCCAGAATAAATCCTGCGAGAGAACGATTCCGTGATTTATCGACGTCGATTTAAAATAATAAATGCTAACCGCTCTCGTATCCGTAGTAATTCTGTAGCGATAAAGATGCTTTCGTGTGGCCTTCCTTTAATCGCTCACGTTGATCTCGGTACAGCAGTAGTTGAAGACAATCTGACAAAAATGAAAAAGGCTCGTCAGTTTTGCAAAGAACATGATGGGAAGAATCATCAACACAAATTATCCGCGTTAGTCGTCCAACTCATAAAAATATCCTACGAAGAGTTCGCGCATTCACACTAAAATGATACACATGTATTGTTTTCATTCTTTGAAGGCAATTGTTTTCGAGATTAAACTAATGGATGAACTAAATAATCTCATCTCATCTACCCGCAGGAGAAGGCACGTCATGCAAGTAGGTTGAATAGGAAACTTCGTAATCAGGGAAAATACTTCGTTTACAACTGGTCAAATCTATTCCCCGATTCTGGCCATTCAGATACTGTAGCAGAGCAGTAAATATCTACTAAAATATTTCCACCACCATGGATCAGGTCAATCCTTGAAGTTAACTCCCGGGTGGATACAGAATCGATCATCAATTGTAAGATAACCACTCACACGTCGCATTTTTTGCAAGGATATTCCGAACACGATCTGTTTCTTGCTTTGTTCATTTAATGCAGTTTCTGAAGAGATATCCTTAAAAATTAGCTTTCGGGCACGCCGCCGAAGTTATGTTAACACAATATTGTGCGGCAATTAAGAAATGGACAGATTATTTACGGCAATCTAACTTTCTTTCCCGCTCGAAAGGCTGAAAAATCAGGGTACTTTCTGAATTCGATGACGACTCAGAGTGCACGTCACTGTCTATTCATCAATCAAGGGAAAACTTGCTTCAGCGTCAAGATATAACACCGTTTAATGAATTACCTCGATAAAATAGAATGAAAACGTGCCAAGTAAGAAATTGAAAGAACTTCAGCGCATTCCAGACGCGTCCCTCAACCTGATCACGACAGTAGCGCATTAAGGTTCAAGGAATTGCAACAAATGATTCGAGCCATTCACTGTTAAAAAGTTAATGTGGTTTTTTCATGCCCTCGGAAGACAAAGGCATGCAGAATTAGACACGATTTTTTTTCAACACTGCACGCATTTTTCGTTGTTTAACGTTTAATGAATTACCTCGATAAAATAGAATGAAAACGTGCCTAGTAAGAAATTGAAAGAACTTCAGCGCATTCCAGACGCGTCCCTCAACCTGATCACGACAGTAGCGCATTAAGGTTCAAGGAATCGAAAACCTTAAGGAATAAAGAACGCCTTCCAGCTTGATTATTTTTTCTTAGACACCGAGACCAAGATATACTAGGCCTTCCACTCTCAACGGGAAACCTGGCGGATAAACAAACGTGAAAGCTGACAGATTGAAATTCTACCGCGTTAAAAGCATTGGAATACGGAAAGTAAATCTCACAAAAAAAAACTCCCGTTGCAGGAAACCCTGAAATACGAGATCCTCGTAAAACTTTTCGAGGGCATTTTTCCGATCATCACGTGAGATGAATTCAACAGATTAGAAAAAAGGCAGATTATCTTTTTCTTTCAATAAAATTTAAAAGAGATGACGACAGAGTTCCAATTATGCTGTACGTAAGCCTCAAGTGCAATAAACAAAAAAATGTGAGCTTACTCGTGCATCTAATATGCCTAGAAAAAACAATACTGTATCAGAGCAATAAAAAAATTTCGTTCGTGTGCTCTTCAGCCAAAAATGAACTGTGTATTTTATAGCGAAAATAAATAACTGATTTATTTGAACTGAGCATGTGCTGTGAATCGAAAAAAACATGAGACCTAATTATACGGATGCAACCCACCATAGTAGTTCGAAATTCTCGGTGGAGTTAAGGCTTCCCAGCCGAGGTACTACAAGGGAATAATTCATACAGTGAAAGTAGAAATCCTCACGCGCAAAGGAACATCCAAAAGAAAACCGAAGCGGTGTTCATAAAAAAAAGGTTTGCATGGAAAACAAAACAACGCCTGGAAAAATAACGAAGAGAGCATTCCGTCGAAAGAAACATTGCAACACTCAACCAACCATGCGGGTGTTACAATTTCCGGCGCTGGAAAGCGAGAAAAAAGTACTCTCGAGAAGAGGAACCGCCTTACCGAGCGATAAATAGCTCCAGACAGAGAAACGTCCAAAAATCCAAAATTAGAACAGTCTTCCTTCTTTCATCTTAGACCTTACCCCGCACTGATACGCATATCCGATATTCAGGAACATTAAAACGTAACTGTTTTGCTTCAATTCTCCCGAATAAAATCAATCATGCAAACAAAATTAGTCACCATTAATACTATATCAGGAATAAATATTAGATTGGAACGGCAAAAACAGAAATAAAAACATAGCACGACGAACATAAGCATACTAAGAATGGCAGAAAAATTTACCAGCAACCGGGGAAAGTTTTGTGAGGACTCCCCATCTTGGTTTCCACTGGAAGAAAAAGGAAAAAATTCATTTAATGCTGACTTCCAGAGCGAATATACGGACAAAATACTCACCTTCTTTCCATCACGGAATTTCATGGAGCCCTCCAAGACAACGCAAGAATCGCTCGCCATTCCGGATTCTCGGCGATCACAGAAACTGATCACTGCGGAGTGTGACGAATAACCGAGAAGAAGCCCCAACACACCATGCCATGTCGAGAACTTCACGCGAACTGCGCGCGATCCGCCGAAAGGTAATTCCTCGCGAGTTGCGACCAGGGCTCGACAGACAGATCTTCCAAGGAAAAAAATAAGAATCCAATGAAACTTCTCTGCCATAAAACAAATAGCGCAACACACATATTAACGAGCACTCAAGTACAAGACGAAGGAACGACGCGCAAGGATACACACAGTACACATGAATGTATCGAGCAAAACAACGAGAATCCTCAGATACGCAAGGAACTATCCCATGAAAACACACGCTGGTCTTCGAAACGATAACATGCACAAAAGTAACGAAATGGAGATGGGTTTAAGACCTGAACAGAAATCTCACACACTTCAGTCCATAAGCTCCACGCTTTTTGCTTCCATTCAATGAATCGCAAGACCTGAAGTGTACAATTGGATGAACAGGCCATCAAACATATAACGCGCACCGGACACGCAGTTGAGAAAAATGTGCCTGCTCAAATAGCGACCTCTAGGAAGCCACTCGTAAGCCAGAGTGGTGTCCAAGTCTCCCGGCTGGATATAAACCAAAGACTGGAGATCCCGACCGACAGCATATGGAATACGGACTTCGGAAAAAACCAGGATTTCCTCATGCGCTTTTGACCCTGATGAGAATTCCCTGGAACCGCGATTTCAGCAAACTTCGTCTAGTGGAGTTACCGATTGAGTGACGGGCCCTAAATATCTGCAACGCCCTCCGCAGAATCGATTAATTTTTCCCTCAGGAGTAAGTGTGTCACGTTGTTGAAGTTATACAAGGGGTTCCGTCATCATTGTGGATCGCTCGCTGAAGTTGGACGTGAAGTTACTCTAATTGAAATAGCAGGATGAAAGGTTGATAGTTATGAAGTTTTTGATCCGTCGTGGCGCGTGGCCTCCGTCACTGAGCAGAGCGACACTACGCATAGCAAGTCCGTGGTGTGCGCAAGGATACACACAGTACACATGAATGTATCGAGCAAAACAACGAGAATCCTCAGATACGCAAGGAACTATCCCATGAAAACACACGCTGGTCTTCGAAACGATAACATGCACAAAAGTAACGAGATGGAGATGGGTTTAAGACCTGAACAGAAATCTCACACACTTCAGTCCATAAGCTCCACGCTTTTTGCTTCCATTCAATGAATCGCAAGACCTGAAGCGTACAATTGGATGAACAGGCCATCAAACATATAACGCGCACGCGACACGCAGTTGAGAAAAATGTGCCTGCTTCAATAGCGACCTCTAGGAAGCCACTCGTAAGCCAGAGTGGTGTCCAAGTCTCCCGGCTGGATATAAACCAAAGACTGGAGATCTCGACCGACAGCATGTGGAATACGGACTTCCGAAAAAACCAGGATTTCCTCATGCGCTTTTGAACCTGATGAGAATTCCCTGGAACCGCGATTTCAGCAAACTTCGTCTAGTGGAGTTACCGATTGAGTGACGGGCCCTAAATATCTGCAACGCCTTCCGCAGAATCGATTAATTTTTCCCTCAGGAGTAAGTGTGTCACGTTGTTGAAGTTATACAAGGGATTCCGTCATCATTGTGGATCGCTCGCTGAAGTTGGACGTGAAGTTACTCTAATTGAAATAGCAGGATGAAAGGTTGATAGTTATGAAGTTTTTGATCCGTCGTGGCGCGTGGCCTCCGTCACTGAGCAGAGCGACACTACGCATAGCAAGTCCGTGGTGTGCTTTTCTGCCAGCATTTCCGCCGCAAAAACGCACAGGGCCATTTCTTCGGTTGAAACTTACTCCTGTGGGAAAATTGTATCGATTCTGCGGAAGGCGTTTCAGATATTTAGGGCCTGTTACTCTTTTGGCTAATTTATCCTTCGATATTCTATTCCCATAGACGTAAAAAGAAAGAACGTTGTATTCTTCATATAAGATTCTTTTGGAAATTTCCACACACACGGCGAGCTTTTCGTTGGATGACATCATTGAAGTTCATGAGCATCAGCATTTCCGCCACGAAAATTTACCGGCGGTTCTTTTTTGGAAAGAAAATTTCTCGGCGGCTTTCGAAGCAGCAATAAGTTCCCCGGAAAATTAAATTTTATTACAGTACAGTATATCGTTAGGCATTTCCATAGCTGATAGCTTAAACTGTGAGCGACTGTTCATTATGCGGAGTTCAAGCGTTGTAAAAGGTTTATTTGATATGTTCGTCAGTTAAATTCATTCGAACAGGATTTTGATGGCAATAATGATTTTAACTTAATGTTAATGATGAGTGGTTTTCTTCATCTTTTCACGCTTGTGGCTCGAGAATGGGCTCAAATTCTGATCAGTTTCACCAGCGATGAGAGGCACAGATCGTTGTCTGCAATTGTTAGCCTCTTATACCAATTCTACCTTTGAAGCTTACCTACACTTTCTGGATTTCTCGATCTATTTGCATTTGCTGAGAGTTCCATAATTGTTTTTCTTTGTGGCCCAGCTGTTGTACAGTACTGTACAGGTAGGCCTTGCAGATAATTGTGGCATCTGACCTTCATGCTCTCATTTCTGATTCCTTGTAATAGTCATATGCTTGATGAAATTGTAAGATCCAATCGCTAAGCTGGCCTCGGATTGTTTTAAATCTCAAATGGTTTATTGTAATCAGATTCTTACCGCTCTGCTTGTTCATCCTCCAGGAATTTTCCAGGTGCAGTACTGTTGGAGGATTAGATGCTGGGTTTTTGTATTATGCATTGCTGTTAAGCGGTTGTGCACCTCAAGTAAAGACCTGTGATGTGATCCAATTCTAATGCAGCAAAAACTTCTGGAAAAACTCGCTCGAGTATGACGCAAAACTGATTTTTTGGGGAAAACTGTGTGGGGTACGTAAGTAAATATTGCACATGCAGGATTTCTCTTCCCAGTGAAGATTTCCTTTGTTGCAGAACCAGAAACTAAGAGAGTGAAACTTATAAATAACATTGCTGTTTGCAGACCAACATAAGTGAAGTATGAATGGATTCGGATTCCTGGTTATTGCTGCACTAGCATTGCAGCTCTTGGTGAAGGCCTACCCAACTTCCCTTATAGCACCCAGCAACTACATCAACTATGAAGAAGATCCTTTATTCGCGATGCTGCGCCAGAAAATTGAACGGGGGGAGATTGACATGGAATCAGTGAGCTGTTCTAAAGTCCTTTTTTTTTGCGGATTGAGCTTTATTCTTTGAATGTATATGTGGCTGGAAAATGCTGCTTCCTTTGTTCCCCAGTTCTTCCCTCTGCTTCTTTATAAGCTGTTGCTTCTCAATGCTGTCTGACAAAGTTGGGACCCTTGGTTATTAGTTATTACACCACCACAGCAAATACCCAGAAAGTTAAATAACTTTCACTCTCAAAAATTCTTGATTCAGGCTCTGAATTTAATCCAGATGTTCCTCAGGCAAGAGCTGTATCCCGAAAGAATTTTTCCACTTCAGCACTCACACAATTCCACTTAAAAAAAAAAAGATTGCAGGAAAACCGGCTACCAAAGGAAAATTTGCGAGCATGTCTTACGGATAAGAAACTCCTCAAATTTGTGGTTTCCCATTTTTTCCCTCTCCCCGCATCCCCCAAGGATGCGCACCGCCAGGTAGTGCTGCATAGCAGCAAAAAAGGAAAAGAAAGAAACAGCAGGATTGCCAAACCTGGCTCCCTGAAGCTTCAATTGTGGGCACCAATTCCCGTAACATATACTGTATATGGACTCTTAAACGTGCTATCTGATTCATCTGAATAGAAGCTCCGTAAATGAACAAGAATATATTTGATAAATTAATGAGAAAATATTTCAGGAGTTCCAAGTAGAAACTTCATCAAGTCACATTGACCCTCAGCAAACACCGTCATTTTCAGAAAAAATCAGCGTGCGTCTTCTGTCCTTTTTTTTACTTGCTGGGTCATTTTTTTTTTCCTGAAGAAAGTATCAGCATTTCCTTGTATAATATATCTGTCCTTGTAATTGATTACATCTTTACATGACCTTGAAAGTGCATGTCGAAATGAATAAAATATTTTGGCTAGAAATGGGCAAACATTGAAGAACAGTTTTTTAGAAAATTCGGTACCATGAAACGCTCTTTTCAATAGCGTATTCGTACCTTTGAATAAGACAAGGACAAGACATAAACTCGATTGCGCTGTATTTTCGTGCGGAATTATTCCCAAATGCACATTGAATGATGAAATACTGTAGTATTATACAGTTTTGCAACGAAATTAAAATACAAATCACGACTGGGAAGTGCAATCAAGCAAAACTTTTTCTACAAGTACTGTATGTTAATGTGAGTGATTTCAATCTGAAACTCTTCACTAGAAGAGAATCCATTGATGGGAAACTGATGGATTTTTTTGGGGGGAATAACTCATACAAGTACCTCACTGCAAAGTATAGACTGTAGAGCCTCAGTTGATGGCCTTCATCCGTTCCTCTGAGAATTCTATATGTTCTGCCGACAGTAAAGTAAATCTTTGCACTTCAACTTAGCAATGCTTGTTGAGGTATTTACAAGGATAGGCTAATTTTGAACCGGCCCTCGCAAATTTGTTTAATTGTTTTTAATAACTCCTGTTGGCATGGTATTCCTTCTTTTCATTTATGATGTCGGTTCGAATTTTTCTAGAATTTTTTCATGGACAAAAGCAGATTTCAAGTGCACCATGACCCGGAATGGCCTCCGGAACCTCTTGACATCCAACCTTTGGGACACATTTCTGCGGTCGACACGGATTTGAAGGGAAATCCCGTGATTTTCCACCGGGCGGAAAGATCTTGGTCCTCTCACAAGTAAATTTCATTGAATTGTACATTCATTGTGAATTTAGGTTTTCTGGGAATAATTTGAAAGCATTTTTGTTGGGATTTTCTTCGTTATAAAAGTGTAGTGCAGTCATAGTGTCCTTCGTCCGTAAATTCAGTTTAGACTTTATTACTGTGGTGTACATGTACAGTATGTCTTCATAAATTTTACGTGGATTACGATGGATTTCTCCGCTTTCTTGCGCGAAATTGTCGCAATCCGAAAAAAAATGTTCGTTGTCGGGTCAAGGTTAACTAAAACCGTTTGATCGTCTTTCTCAACTATTTCGTGAATCTGTATTACTTTTCGACTTACACGAGTTGAAAATACTGTATACGAGGGTTCTAACAAAAGTTCTCGGAATGAAAATGGCGTCTACTTGAGCTGAAAAAATATTATTCTTTTGGGCAAACATATTCTTCCAAAAAAAATTGTCAAACAGGGCTGATTTTTTTTTGTGCCGAAGAATATGTTTGCTCTAAAGAATAATTTTTTTTCAGCTCGATTAGACGCCGTTTTCATTTTCATTCCAAGAACTTTTGTTAGAACCCTCGTAATGCCTCCAGAGGGTTTGCAAACTTTATGGATGCCTTTTTTTTACAATATGAGGCACTCGAAAGCGGGGCTGTAACAATTATACCAATTTTGCGACTGCTGAGAAAGTCATGACTCGAAGTAAAACCCAGTGAGCATTTTGATTTTTTATGTAAAGAAAGCTGATTAATTAAGAACATTCTCCTGAAATTAAGCCTGAGCAATTTTTGTTCAAGTTTGTCTTCGGGAGTCTTCCGTGCTCCGAAAAATATTTTTAATGTTGAAAACAGCGTACCCATCATTTTATTCACACTTTTATGCGCTGAGATGAAATCTGAGCGCAGGATTCGCAAACAAATACTTTTTTCCAAATAAATAATCATGTAATGCCCATATACAGTACACTGTATATGGGGATATTTTTGGTTGACTCGCCAGTCTTCAAAAACCCCTGTTGAAAAAATCATTCAGGCTTCGAAATCATTCATGGTGACACGTTCGCGTCGTCGTCGTCAATCCTCATATTATACAGTCCCTGGCAGAGCACGGAAATTAAAGTCGCATGAAAGTTCCGAGCGATTTTTGTCCCCGAGGATGTATTACAGATTATAGATGGGAATGATTTCCGTTGTCAGAGGTGATCATAAGCATCATTTCTATATGTGTGTTACAGCAAACCACCGGTCATAGAGGGGAACACGATCGCGGTTCTGGATAAAAATAGCGGCAAAGTGCTCAGCACATGGGGAAACAATACGTTCCACGTCCCCCATGGACTCACCATCGATCACCGTGGCAATGTTTGGGTCACTGACACTGGCACGCACCAAATTTTCAAGGTAAGAAAGTTTTATGCTGTACAGTATTATACAAAAACCGTATTTTTAATGTCATGTTCACGTACTAAAGGCCTGGAAGTTCCTAAAGCTACTGTGGTTCTTCCCTCTGCGATTCTGAAGGACGTCATCGGCTTCTGAGACATAAATGAACGGTTGTCTATCTGTCATTGTATTTTCCGTCGAGTTGAAGAAAAACTTCTGTCCTGTATTATAAATCCCGAACCATGTCTTTACGAAATCATAATTAATGCCATTGCGGCATAAACGATATAACTTTTATTTCTCCAGGCTCCCAAAAGCTTAACATTTCGCAGAAACGCCAAAAAAGGCACGAATTTTCATGTGACTTATCGATAAACATCGTGTACAGTATTTTCATGATGAACTTGAAATAACGGCCCACTTTCCTTTTCTTTGATTCTTTCGTATAAAAAATTCGCCTTGCTAGCAATATTACAGTTCGTCCTTGTACTTTACAATGATACGAATATACCGTAACTGGTCCCTTATTGGAAAAACTATTCAGATTTTTCGAAAATATTTTCTTGGATGTGTACCCTGGACTTTTAGTTCCCTAACCTCATGCTCAGTGTCAAACAAAATGAGTCTATAGATTGATAAAATTTAATTTGTTCACATTTTAGCACCGCCCCAGCAGAAAATTTGTTCGGTAATCAAAGACATCATAGATTCCAAGACGCACCCGAATCTTTTAAAATCAACGCTGAGGAAAGTGTTCTTTGTGTATTCGCGTGAACGAAAGTTCCGCGGTGTTTTGACATAAAAATAATTGCGAAAAAACTGAAAATGGTATCCTGTGTATATTTGTATATGAATGCATAAATGATTTCTCAGAGCTCATTACTCCTTATTCTTCTCTCATAGTTTGCCCCGGGCTCAACGAAACCCGCTCTGGTTTTGGGAGAGAAATTCATATCAGGAACTGATTCCAGTCATTTCTGCAGACCGACTGACGTCGCAGTTGCCACAAATGGATACTTTTTCGTTTCTGATGGATACTGCAACAAAAGGGTCATGAAATTCGATCACGACGGAAAATTTGTCAGGGAGTACACCCACGGTGAGTGTGCTTTTCTCCACACACAAAAAATGCAAAATTGGGAAATGCTCTCCATTAATTTTTTAAAAAATGTACTCTTCATGTATTGTATTCCAGAACATACCCGAATGTATCTCCTGCATGTGATTAGTTGTCGATATTCAATTAAATTTGAAAATTATTCTCCCAAATCAGAAGTTCGATCTGTTTATTTTTATTTTCCTCTCAGTTGGATAAGTAATCCGTCTTTGACGAAATGAAAACCAAGACTTGACTCAAAGTCGGTATTCCCGTTAGAGTATTCCACATCTACTAAATTTGCTGGCGTAATATTCAATTCCTGCATGATTTTTCGTTCGAAGTTGCCTTTTTTAACAGGAGGTAAAATTGGAGAGAAAAAAATGGCTTGAAATTCATGCATTTTCTGTTCACAAACTTTCGAAAAGTGGGACAAATTGTTTGTACGAGTTACTTTTCCTGCCTACGAAAAATTATGCGTTACAGAAATTTGTCCTTGTTCAGTTGGTCTTAAGTATGTGAAGCATAAAAAGTGTACATGTAGAGGTACACACGCAGGATGAATCCGCGCGTTGTTCCGGCGAATGATGCGTTTTTTTCGCCTCGGGGTGGGGTCTTTTCCGAGTCGTAAATTTTTCCTCTTTTGATTTTGTTCTCCTTTTGCCCCTCTTTCTTATCACTGTGATAGATATGGACGTGATACATGATTTAGCATTGATCGAAGAACGCGACGCCATCTGTGCGGCTGACAGAGAAAATGGAAGAGTGGTTTGCTTCCAGGCGAGTTTGAGGCCTTCGGAAGCCGGTGATTCAACCGACATCAGCAACGAGCCCCTGGCGATTCTCCCCGTATCTGAGTCCCTGGGCGCCGTTTTTGCCATCAGCAACCTGGGTGAGAAGAGGCGACTGTTTGCGAAACAAGGATTTATGCTTGAATGAACTTTAACGTCAACTATGAACGTTTTGGTTTTTCAAAGTTATTCATCAAGATACTGTGAAAAGATTAGATCTCTTCATGAAAAAATGCTACCGCATTTATTTATAATGCTACCGCATTTAAATTCTGCCCTATAGTATTATAGTGTGCGCTTAAGAGGCGCACATCCATTTTTGAGCTGAAAAATCGGTCCACTTCACTGCCAAAAAAATTTTTTTTTCAATCAAATGGTCCTCTCCATTCAATGGCTTTCTGATGGGTTCAACTAAATTTTTGGTAATAAACTGAGGGATTTGTGCTGACAAAAAGTGTGTTACCCTGGACTTCGTGAACTCCAATTCACTTCACATGAAAGTCGCATTTGTCTGCACTGAACGTCTTTTGCAGTATTGGATTGACAAACTACTGATGAATTATATGCTTGTCAGAGTCATATTTCCGGCAACTTGCTGGAGCGTCCATAGAGCTTAACTGGTCCTATAATGCATTCCTCATGAATTATTTGCTTTTTTTCTCTTCAACCCCTTACCCATGCATGAGACGATCAGCTCCCGATTGCCAAATTCTCCTCTCTCGAAACTCGAAAGACTGTTTAGGTGAGGCAATCCTCTCAAGAATCCCAGCAAACCTAGTGAGAAAGCAGATGGTAAATTTCCTATCGGAATTTAATGTATTCCGCAGGTCATTCCAAAAAAAAACTTGAACACGATGTAAAATATCTTTGAATGCCATTTCAGTCAACCGTTTTCAAACCTAGTATCCTTGCTAAAACTATTCGTGAAGTGCATGTTGCTGTTCAAAGTTTATATTTTTTTGGTCCAGGCTTTCTGACGTGCTGACGTTTTCGTTTTCAAAGAATTGAAAAAACGGAAAAGTTTTTCGTGTGTCTGCTTAGAGCAGTTGAACCAAAAGAAGTCTTAGATGAAAAATCTCTTGAACTATTCAATTTTTCTGTTTATCCCTGTGTAATCTCTACTTAATTCACATGAATAGGTTTTAAAACATACTGCGCTTGTCTAAAATGTGCAACGTTTCTCACATATTTTTCTCACATGATGCACCAATGGAGCAATTGTTGCGACCCTTAAATAAACCATCTTTAAAGCAGGTAATACAAATCGAAGGAAGTCAGTGATACTTGAAAAGTTTGAATATCATTTTAGTGGTTAGTCGTGGAAAAAGTCACGAATATACAGTAATGTAATTGAAATTCAACCGGCGGAATCAATGCAGATGGTTAAATTACTGGTCCTGCACCCCAGTTATCCACAAAAACGGCCCTGGAGAACAGCGGCTTAGTGGTAGAAATTACCTGACAACTTCTGTTTTTTTTTAAGTTTTCATTCAAACTTTTCATGTGACGATGCCGTGGCACTTGATACCATACTACTGTACTACTGTTATATGAAGTGAACGAGTTTCGATTTGGTGTTTTTTTTCCTTCATTGTCACAGCTTGATTCGCTACCAAGCTATTCTAGTCAAAAATCGGTTCACTTTTCTGGTCATTTCTGTACTGTATAGAGAGATCACAGAAATTCTGAAATATTGTACTTTACTTTCTTCCCACATTTCAGGTCCTGCAATTTTTGCAGTTCGTCAGCCGCGTGTCTCCAACAAGGAGCCGCCAAATGGAGTGGTGCTAAGCTTTGACAAGGGCGAAATTATCGACACTTGGCAGAGAGTGAGTAGGATAATTTTGATCAAATCTCATTGCATTGGAAAAGGAAGGTTTCGGAAAAAACTCTTTTCTATCAGCAGCCCTCGCTACGTTGAGTCAGATCTTTGAATTAAGCTTTTTTCCCGTTTATTCAAGAGCAAACATTTTTATCTTAAAATTCTAAGACGCGCGGAGCAGGAAAATGTTCGACGACCATGAATATAATCAGTTACATCCCGGTATTTTGTGTAGAAGCTTTGTATGAACTCACTTTTTTTTCTGAGATTCCGTCAAGTTATTCCGAGAGTGACCGCATACTTTTTCTCATGGCCTCATACTTACATGATGTAAGCATTTTAGCAGTTTTCTTCCGCTATCTAAGGATCAAACTCACTGTTTTATGCAGATCATGCTCCGTTTGGTCGATTGTGAATGGCGCATGTCAACCGTAGAATTATCCGTTTGTCTTTCTCTCGTTATGTATTTTGGCCACACATGAAATTATGTTCCAAACAAAAAATCAGAGACGAAAAGTAAACGAAATCTTCAGGAACTGGTGTATTGGAGTGATATTTTTATAACTTACATGACGGTACACTTATGTAAATCGAATTTAATACCGAAAGTTGTTGTGGTCCGCTTATTTTTGGTCAAAGTAACAAATGCGAAATAGTTTTTTTTATGGCGTAGTACAGTATAATGTTTTTCTCTTTCGATTCTTTTATGCGATGGAAATTCTTTTTACGAGAAGGAAGAAATCACGCTTATCAAAGGAATGCTGCAGAAGTTGAGATCAATACAGTATTGTAAAATGTGACGCATTGTTCTCCTTCTTTCTGGAATTTCGGCCGGGCGTCATCGCTGAATCTCGAAAATTACTGAAAACTTAACTTGAACGTGGTTGAATGAAAGTACAGTACAGTATTAAACCATTAGATTTTTTGAATCACTTGAAATCATTTTCAGACTTGACATCTTCGTGGATTCCAGGTGACATACTGTAATGAAAAAATAAATTCTGAAGTCTATGACATTACGATTGGAAGAAAAATCGAGTTTCAATGGTATTTCCGGCCTCGAAATTTTCTTCACGCTTGATTCATGTGTGGATATTTAGCAGAATGGCTTTGGAATCAAAGTTCAGACTGCGTTACGCAAAATGTCAAAAACATAAGAAGCGTACTTTTTTCTTCCAGGATGCTTCAGAAGAAAACGGAAGTTTCCTGATGAATCCTCACGACGTCGTTGTCTCAAAAGACGGGAAAACAGTTTATGTTGCTGAGATTGGCCCGAATCGTCTATCAAAGTTCAACATCAAGCACTAATGAGAAAAATAAGTCATCTTTGCCAGCCTTGAATCGCCGACATTTGCAAACCAGCAAGCAGTCGGGCGGCGAAAGTGCCGGTGCTGGTAATTGGCCCTTTAGGAGTTCTGTGAAAAACGAGAAGAAACGAGAGGGTATTAATTGAAAAGCATTGTTGGATCTCATATTCCATGCGTCGTGTTCAAGGTGGCATAGACCTGAGGAAAAAGCTTTGAATGTCTGGTTGTTTTCTGAATCGCGGTGCTGCTTTCAGAATTCCGAGTTCCCCGTAATGGGAGAAGGACTTTTGTTGTGTGAGATTGATGACAGAAAATGAAATGCCGCGCGAAGTGATTCGTTGCTGTTACGCACTTTTTGTTTTTAATTTTTCCTGTGAAATCCTTTGGGTCTTGTGTTTCAGAAAGTGAAGTCGATTTCTAGTCATATCGAATGAATTCCAATAAATAAATCCCCGCGCATCTTTGAATTTCTCCCAAATGTTGTAGTCGAAGTATGTACGATTGCGCAAAAGTTGATGGTTTCCAAAAGCAGTCCAACAAACAGAAAAAAATGTCTGTAGGATTTAGGGAATTTTGTACAAGCAAGAATCCCTAAATTCTAATAAATTGGCATCATCCAGAAACCCCACCAGCACTGCGCTACCAGCACATTTCTCAATGCCTCATCAAAGAAATAGTTTGCTGTGCACTTATTCTGCTGTGTATTAGTAATTTGGTCTTGTATCTGAATAAAATATATTCTTGGAACGAATCTTCTCGGAAAATCTGTCAATAGATAAATCTGACGGTTTCTATGTAAAGAATATATACTGCCGGAGTAGTTCATAGATTTTACTTCTGCTTACGCGTGTCTGTTCGAAAATTTTCAGTTTTTTTTATTTGCTGGCATACAGTAATTAATGCTGCACCTAGTTTTTATGACGATAAAAAAATGATGCTGGTTCCTATTAAACTGATGTCTGCTTTGCATGCATGCTGCAAGCAGCAGACCATAGAGGAAAAAATTAAAGTCAAGACTGATTAAAGCAACTGTTCTGTCATAATGAAAGTGAACTGTATAATGGATTGATATTTGTTTTCCTTCATAGAAGACATAAGTTTCATATACAATATATGGAATTATCCGTTGGCGGAATATTTTTCCCATTATTCATATACCTGCTCTGCAAAATTTATTTAAGTTTGATGTAGAAATTTGAAAAAAAATAACATGCTTTCTTGTCAGAATTATTTGAATACCCTTTCACTCTACCCTTGGGATTGAAATATATTATTTTATTAAACAGCATGAATATAATATTCAATGCAGTGACAGGTGTTGAGTGCATCAAAAATAAATTTTGAACAGTATCCAGCTCCCATGAAATGAGCCTAAATTCTTTGTCATGATTGAATATTCAAAGAGTGATTTGAACTTATGTGACTGCATTGACAGAAGATCAGTTCTCGGAAAATGTTTGCACGGCAAAAAAAATACTCCTAAACCAGTCGTACAGAAGAAATGAACAAGGAAGCTCATGCAACAAACTCCGAATATTTTTTGGGGAATTATCTTATGGAATCTGATTTTGATGTGCCCCTATCCAAGGGTTAATTGATGAAATTGTACTTCAGGGTAAAGCTATAATTCTGTGTGGCTTTGGATGGAGGGCATCCCAAAATTTTAGAGAAAAAAAATGGTGTTGAACATACAGTACTGTATATTGTCCTTCGAAAAGAGTTCACTTGTCTGATTTCAAATGCGTGCAAAGCATATGTGCAATCATCCTTGTCTGCGCTCAGACTGACTATAGCATCCCTCTCCGGTTGCCCCGCCAGTTATTGTCCAGTAGCTTGTTAGGGACAAATCCTCCCTGAGCAGCCTGCAATATATAGTACAGTATACTGTACTGCATCTCAAAATCAGCAAGCAATGTAAATTCCGCAGAACGGTGGCGTGCAACAATTAAGTGTTCAGAACCCGTTCTACCATACGTTCATATTCCTGCAAATGCTACTTCATCCATGAATGAGTCAATATGCAGCAGTGACAATAACAGTCCGCGGCATCCAGCTCAGAGGGAGAAATCCCGTCAACTTCCAAGGTTCACATAAGTAACTCTAATTTGAACGTATATAAATGAATGACCAGATGAATTGAGGAATTTACATTGAATTCTGTATACAGTACTCCGTATACAAGCCGCAGCAATTTTGCTTGACAGTACATTACAGTGTACATCAGTACACTTAACAGTACTGTACACATGAGCAACACCCATGTCTGTATCTTCTTTCAATGTGAAGTACAGTGCATTTGTATGTGCTTCACAAGTTGGCTGAACAAATGCTCTTTGTTATATTATGGTATATGGATCTTCCATGGAGATGGCCATGAGCCGGGAATTCTGGGAAATACAGTACTCTACTGGTACGTGCCTTATGTCGTGGATTTTCGCAACGGATGGCTTACACACGGGATGTCAATTCGCCGCATCCTTACACCATACACGGAGCATTTCTGTTGATACCCATCCGAATAGTTTTTTTTTTTTGTGGAACCGAAGGTCGAATTCATGATCTGCAGGAGTGATATTATGCGCTCTCCGTTCCTGGCTTGCCTCGTCCATGCTCTATTTTGAAATGGCTTCGGGACGAACCTCGGTGCATTGTCCTTAATTTTTTATTTGAGGTTATCGCGTGGTAATTGATCGCACCGCGTGACGTACTTCCGAAAGAACGTTGGTGTCACGATTCTTCTCGTTGTAATGACGGAAACTTGCTTTTGAAGGTTGTGGCGATGTCGGATTTGCTGATAATGCCATCACTGAAATCAATTATTTGAAACACGAAAGATTTAGGACGTTATATCCCGATGAATTCCCCCAAAATGTTGCGTGATACGCCTATGACTGAAAATCAGTTCATTTCGAATGTCATCGACCTGAGAAATCGTCTGAAATTGGGAAATACAGTACTCTACTGGTACGTGCCTTATGTCGTGGATTTTCGCAACGGATGGCTTACACACGGGATGTCAATTCGCCGCATCCTTACACCATACACGGAGCATTTCTGTTGATACCCATCGGAATAGTTTTTTTTTTTTGTGGAACCGAAGGTCGAATTCATGATCTGCAGGAGTGATATTATGCGCTCTCCGTTCCTGGCTTGCCCCGTCCATGCTCTATTTTGAAATGGCTTCGGGACGAACCTCGGTGCATTGTCCTTAATTTTTTATTTGAGGTTATCGCGTGGTAATTGATCGCACCGCGTGACGTACTTCCCAAAAAACGTTGGTGTCACGATTCTTCTCATTGTAATGACGGAAACTTGCTTTTGAAGGTTGTGGCGATGTCGGATTTGCTGATAATGCCATCACTGAAATTAATTATTTGAAACACGAAAGATTTAGGACGTTATATCCCGATGAATTCCCCCAAAATGTTGCGTGATACGCCTATGACTGAAAATCAGTTCATTTCGAATGTCATCGACCTGAGAAATCGTCTGAAACGACCGATCACTGCTCGGCTTCCCGTTCGTTTGACGAAGAAATGGTTTCGACTGAGGGAATTTGATGGGAAATCTATGCTGTAAGTACTTGATCGCCTTGTTTTTAACCATGGTGGTTTGTGCGAAACTGGCTATGTTGCAGTGAGTTTTGGGATGCGTGGTGGTCTGGGAAAATCGCAAAGCAACACTTGACCATGATGCCCCTGGCTGCCGGACTTCTTGTTGGTATTCTTGATGGACAAGTTGCTAAGATTAGGATTGTTGAGGGTGAGCAGTTTGATATTCGCATGTAAATGTATATTCAATCTTTCTTCATCGTACTTCCGTTCCTTTTCTTGCGGTTTTCAGGCGAAGTCGTTAGTATGACGAGAGAGTTCCAAGCCGTCAATAAGAATATAGGTAATGAAAGAAATCTTGATAAACCATCTGGGAGTCGTGCAACTAAGCATCAGAAGAATCGGAAGAGGAAGATGGCACGATCAGTCGAAGAAAACGAACTAGATCTTGAAGATGTATTGGTGGAGCGAAGCCCAATTACTCCAGAAACGAACTCGCCTTCTTTGTGGAAAGTAGATCATTTGATTATGGTAGGTGCGGGCATATTTCTTGTCTTTGGGTTGTACTACAGGAATCCTCCTTTGCAGTCCATCTTCGATCCTAATGCAATCGTGAACATCGAAGCAAATCATTCGTCAGTTGGTGCTGGCGAGGACGTGTCAAGTCCGACCATTGCGCATGAATCCCAACCTCATATCTATCCTCAACTCGTGGATACGCAAGAACTTCGGAAAATCTCTTTGATTGATACTTCAGCCTCGTGCGTGCTATTCCATCCACAAGTTAATCCACTTTTAGAAAATGGTGAACGTGAACAAGAGAACAAGGATGTCTTCTTGGATATCCCGGCGGAGACGAATGTTCGTGGTGGTGAATCTCCAAGAGTTCCCATGCAGAAACCACCATCTCTTGATGCACTTTCCCGTTCAACACCAAACGGTCTAAATCGTTTAGTATCGAAGGTGCAGTGTGATGCTGCACCTAAGATTCATCGAGGAGTGCCCGAAATGAACCTTGCGCTGATCAAACAGAAAACACCGTCTAAAGGGAAATTTCAGAAGAAACGCTCTCATTACGAGAGTGTCAGCGTGATTCGTGAGTTAGCCAGATGAATCGATCTCGAATACTGTGCATTTATATGCTTTGTGCATTTCGCAGGATTTCCCTTGTCCTACAAGAAAGGAATGAGGATTCCGGTTGACCGCCTGTTTCCCCAGTGGCAGTTTCGAAGTGTGAGTTATCAGACTGTCGTTACGTGATAACGTGTCCCTTGTATCTATTAGGGTTAAGAATCTCATGTGCAAATCCCCACAGATACGGCAGGCTTTTATGTGTCCCTTGTATCTATTAAGGTCAAGAATCACATGTGCACATGCCCACAGATACGGTAGGCTTTTTGAAGCATGCATTCAGCTGCTGTACGCCAACTTATTGCAAGATTCCTACAGGATGTATGGAACCAAAGTTCGAATGCGAGTGCCTTCTGAAAGGGCTCAGTATTGTTGAACAAACGTCCAATCAAGTTCATTCGAGATCATGTGCTGTATTTCGAAGAATTTTATCGGCATGAGCATGCAGTATGCACGTTTCAACTGATCGCACCTGGAAAAAAATTGCTGCTGGCTTTTTTATGAGGGTTGAAAGGATTCGTGCGAAGATGTCCATGCATTAAAATAACTTGCCCGCAGCTCACACAGCTTAGCCATCGCGTACAATTATCCTTGCTTGAGAGAGAATAGTTTGGCAGGATGGCGAAGGAAAAAAATTCCTGTGAACTTAAGATTCAGTCTTGCTGTCTTCATATCGCTTGCTTTTGGCGAGAATCCGAAAACAACAATTTATGCATGAAAGCTCATGGAGATTTTCTCGATCGATCGTCAGAATAGTCAAAAAAATTTGGAAAAGGAACATTTTTTCATTTCCTTTGAAGGTGCGGAGAACTGCAATATTGAAGTTCATGCTGCCTCTCGAATTTTCTTTCATGTATCGTAAAGTTTTAGGAACGTATATTCAGAATTTTTTCGCAAGCCTACGGCGTCAGTCCAAGTAATGGCAACGTTTTGTTTGTCTGACTTAACGTGCTATTTTGAGTGACGTGCCGAAATCTCGTGTTGATCCTTCTTCGCTTAAAATTTGAATCCCCCGAATATTTTGAGATTGGATAAGTTCTAGTTTTAAATGTTCGTAAAGTTACAGCAGATCGAGATTCAGTAAGCTGCTTCCAGGTTCATCATTATATTTTATGCGATTGAGTATGGGAAGAAAGTGGGTTTCATGCGGTAGCGTTTGACTACTGTATCTTTTAAAATTTTAATATGCTTTACTGTATTCGTAAAAAATTGAGATTTTATCTGCTTATCATTCGCGCTTCCGAAAAATCGGGTATAAATATAACATTTTATTTCAAGCATTTCGAAAAAGTTCGTCAATAGTGCGAATGCCGGAGTATGAGTAAATTTGATGTTCACTTTTGTGTAGAGGATTTTTAAATTATGTAAGTGCAATTTTGCAGTCGTTGCCTGTTCTTGAATGCCAAATGGAGAATGCATCACCTTATACGATGACTACGTTCCACATTCCACGGATTACTTTGTCTCCGCTCCTTCGAAGTGATCAAGTTTCGAATGCCAGTGCTGCAAGAGTGAAAATTTCAAGAGTTAACCGTTCACCTCGTGAAGGGGCTTTGGCATCTCCATCAATGTCTTGTACTTCGGTGAAGGAGTCTAAGGACGTTGACTGTGGGAAAGGAATCCCCCAGGTACTTCTCCTGTTCTCAAATTCAAGTTTAACTAATAATATCCTCTCATTTTGTTTGGGTCAGTCCACGCCGTTGATGATCCCTGGTGTTATTGAAGATCGGACACCAATGAGGCGTGCATCCTCTGTTTCTGCAGTGAACGTGATGACAGATCATCCCATTCAGCTGGAGTCCCATTCTGCTGAAAATGTGGTTGTCTCCATTTTGAACCATGAATCTTTCAATGTACCTCTGCCTGATACCAGGGCTATTATCACAGGGGAAACACCTGAAGGAATGAATGATATGCCGAACTGGCAACCTGTATCTTCCATTTGTTCCTCTCAAAATTTTTCGCGTGCGGAAGTGGTTCACTTCTTATTTCAACTCATAGGTGAGTTTGACGTGTTTCAATCTATGCTTGACGATGTGAAGTAACTTCGACTTTTCAAACACAGGAAGATACGTGAACGGCGAGTGTGATTTCGAGCAGAGAGGAGATCAATTGATGATGAGGAAAAAGTAACTCATCGCGTGGTGAGATAACTATCGATTTTGATCAAAACTAAGGCGGGATCCTGGAATATCGTGTTTTTCAGTTTTTGCACCACGGAACAGAAAATGTCTTCTGTTCATTTCAAAGGTTCAGTACAGTACTGTATTAAAAAAATTCCGATGTGGGTATCATTTTATGGAATGCGCTTCTGGAAAGGTTTTTGCCTCAATCGATAAGCTTTTATCTGAAAAATGTGTGAGAAAGTACGCGTGCAGATCTCTTCTAGTGATTTCCGATGGGAAGAACTTGAAATTGAGTTTTAGACATTCTTGAATCAATGGGATGAAGAGACAAATCCGTAGTCAAGAGTACACCAGTGTTTCTCAATGGTGTACAACGTGTGAGAAAAAGTGATTCAACGTATCATGAGTTACGTCACTACGTGTGATTTTTCTGAGCCATTGAAGGCTATGAACGAGTATCGTGTCAATGATTTATTTTTTACTCCGAGATTACTGTGTTAGCAATTCTTTTTTTTTTTATAAGCTCTGGCAAATTATTTTATATGAGCAGTTCTATGTTTAGCTGAAAAATGCTCGCCATTTTCGAAGCGCTTGAGTTATTTTAAAAGATCCTTCGTAGTTTTTCTGCCATTCTGTTCTGGCAGATAAAATTGGGATGCGTCAAATCTCAGAGGGAAAAATGTGAAAAACATGCTTGCAGAACTGGAGGACAAATAGTGATTTGAAAGTGATACTTCAGCTGGAAACCATATTATGGAATGTGATATTTTAAAATATGAGTTCATAACCTTTGGAAGCTTTGCAAAGTAGCAAGGATACAGTTTACCTCGACACATTTTTATGTTGACCCGTAGTTGAATTCAAAAAGATCAACGCATGGTTTCAAGACTTTCAACTGCTAGATTTTTACTGATTATGTGGTCACTATTTTCGAAAAGCTGTGCCGTTGGATCTGGATGATGAGGGTAAGTTTTTTTAAAATCTTGTCTTAGTTCTAATTCATGCCGAAGAACTTCGTTTATTTTGGATCTTGTGAGAAATGCTTCAAGAAATGTCGATGAGTATGTGATGGTGATCGCTTGCATGCCGTCAGAGGGCCAAATGCTGTGTGTTGTTTATGTTTCGTTTTCGAAATAAATTTTGAAAATTCTGTGTTCAAGAAAGTTTATTTTGCCTGCTGGGTAGATTATGTGTTTCTAATAACCAAGCCTTTCTCAGTTATGCAGAAATTTTCAAGATTTGTGTGTTGCGTGTATCGAATTATTTTCCCCGCATCTCATCGTGGTAATGTGGTGTACTGGTGACAGTGAAATATCATAAAAACTATAACTTTTGTTCGAACCGCAGGAGGATTAGCATTTTTGCGTGTTGAATATGAACAATGGAACTCGGTTCGCGTGCAACAACTGAAGCAACCGGTGCTCAACTCCTGGAAGTTCTGAGAGATGCCACTTCACAAAATCATGTAGTCCTCAAAGATGCCGAACACCGGTTAAGAGCTTGGGAATGTGAGAGCGGGTTTTACCGTGCTTTAACGGTCAGTGAAAGGAGACACAATTTGTATCTGTTCCCCAAATATGTAACGTGTTGAGAACTCCGCAGGAAGTATTTTCGAATCCCAATGTTGACCTTACACTGCGGTGGATGGCGGTCTTGTACTTCAAAAATGGAGTGGATCGCTACTGGAGGAAGACCGCACCCAAGTGAGCACAATTTCTGTTATTTTGAAGGCTTGAGTGATGAAGTCGGCTTCAAATTGAAATTATCATCTACAAAACATAGTTTGAATAGGCTTAATTGTGGTTATCCGAAAATGCCCGACATGATTTCAACCCTTCATCTGTTCCTTCTACTTATATAAATCTCGTGAAATGGTTCTGTTATTCCTAGCTCTCTTTTCTGTCAGGAGTAATCTCTACTAGTCTACTGATTACTAGGTGAACTAGGAATAATGAGTCAAGAGTAATTCAAATATATCTTTATACAATCCACTCCGTTATTGAAGTACACACAGCACAATACAGTAAAACACACAAGTACTGTATATAATTCTATATCCGTTGCATATAGTTACGCTAGAGCTCCAAATGGAAACTCTAGAACAGGTTAGAGTAAACACTTGAGATGAACTGAGTCTGCTGACGATATCTAGAGACAGTTCTCAAGTTCTTTCATAAGTCTTTGATCAGGGTTTTTGAATATTTACTATTAAGCTTCCTCTGGGTTCTTCTCTGGTCGACGCACTGACAAGTTCTGGGGTACAGGACGTGGGACACATGCTTATAAAGCCTCAGGAAAATCTGGTGAGGGATGATGCAAGAAAGGGCCATTATTCCATCACCTTTTTGGGTTCTAGATAGAATTTGCAAGAGTCACATTATTGCATCACCACCAGATTAGAATAGATTACGGAAGAATAATTGTGGTCATGTGCCACTTTCTCAAGCTGACAGAGCGCTGATGGAGCACACCATGATTGTTACCAGAAGAGGGGTGACAGGGGGAAGAGGATATTGGGTTATTATTCAATACCTCTATCTAGGGGAATTCCTTAATCTGGGAAATCCATGCAAGTAGGGAAACTCATTACTTTGTCACCAAGAGATCAAGGGGAGGTTCCTGGAAGATTATTCAAGTGACTCACCAGAGGGGTTCCAGATGGAGATGGATGATCTTTTCTGGAACAAGACATGTGGATGATCTTCGTCTCATTGATCTGATTGACTTTACAGTGTACTCATGAGGGAGTTCAGTTCTTGTATTTAGGATAACAGTTCTGTTACGTTCAGTGAATACACCATGGTGGGTGGTAATCCACTCGCTTCAATGCCCGTTGCTTCTTTCAAAGTGGTTCAGCTTTCCCTTGGCAAAAGGGCCAGAATTTCCTGCGCATAACGTGTTGAAATGCACCTGGTTTAGTGGGTAGAAAGGCTAAAAATATAACCTTTTTTACTCAAGAGCCAAAATTCGCTTTTCTAAATGCTTGTACAGTGTTGTATCCTCATTTTTCCTGTTCTTTCCAGAATTTAAGAATTTGTTTTCGTAGGTAATGTAAATTTTCAGGTTTTTATTTTATTTTTTTACATTGACGAGTGAATCGTCCTGTCGTGTTCCAATTGTTTTCCCTCAAAATTGTTCAAATTTTCGAAGAGTTTTACTCGATGAATGTACTGGTATGAGAAAATAAACGATGGATTTTATTCGGAAAGCTTCGATGGCGCTTGAGAATCTGAAGTGAATGCAGGTTTTGCAGGGTGTCGTAAGACTTTCCGAAATCTTTTCGCGTCCTAAGCATCGTTCGGAGTTGTATTCAACCAAAAGATTTCGAAATCATATCTCTTTTACTATAGTGGGGGAATTGATACCTCTACATCACCCCACGTTAGTCAACAGTCTTCACGCTTGACTGACTTATCAATTATCCATGATTTTTTAGTGCAATTCCTGAGAGTGAGAAGCATGAAATCCGGGAAGCGTTGCTTTCTTCTATGGCGGAACCAGCAAGCCAGATCGCCATTCAAAAAGCCGTCGTTATTTCCAAGATAGCGCGACTCGACTGTCCCAAGGAGTGGGTGGAGTTATACCCTACTCTCATGTCTTTCGTGCATTCGCGGGATGGTCATTGCTCCCTGGCCAAAACACGAGCTCTTGAAGTTATGGCCATGACGACCAAGGCGATGGCGTCCAAGCGACTCGCTGGTGACCGACGACTCTTCAAAGAACTGGCGTCCGACATTTTTATCCCTCTTGTCCAAGAACTGGACTCCGTCATGAACCAGTATTATGCCTCTATAAAGATGGGATTGAGTCCAGTGGCGTACTTGGAGCAGGCGAAATTCTGTATGAAAACGTTGCGTCACGTTTGCGTACAAGGCATCTCTCCGATCCCGTGTAACGCGGACCTGGTTGCTGTGAGACAGTTTGTTCTGTCTCTGTTTCCCGGTGCTAGAAAGTTTCTAGAAACCGGAGCAGTCGATCATCAGCAATGGGAGAAATTTCTCGTTCTGATGATGAAAATCCCGGCGGATATTTTGGAAGTCAAGCCTTATGTTTTCGTGGAATTCATTTCCGAAGCATTAAACTTCTGCTGGCATTACATTTGCGAAGACAACGCGGTGGCCCCGAAAAAGTTGATCGTACAATGTTTTAATCTGATGAAGGGCATTTTGCTTTGCACCGAATACAAAATGGGCGGAAGTCGTGGTGCAGCGCGAGAATTCTTTCCAGCGTCAGCCGACTTCAAAATGGACATGTTGGCAGAAGAAGCATTAGGAATAAGGGACGAGTTCTTCGTGAAAGAGAGAGTAGATGCATTGGCAAAGAAACTGATCGGCTCTTATTTTCCGCTCACGGACGAAGAGATAAAGCAATGGATGGATGATCCTGAAGGCTTCGGTAAGAGCTTTTTCAAATTTTCAGAAAAAGATGGAAATAACGTGAGAATTTTGTCGTATGTTTAATGCTTTATCTCTAATGAACGCGTTTTTTTCTGTAGCTCGTGATGATGCTGGGGAAACGTCCAAGTATTCTCTGAGGGTACGTGTTTTTTTATATGTACACTGTGTCTTGACAGAACTCTGAATCAATCCGATCATTCGCAGGCTTCGGTGGAGTGTCTCTTCACGGCATTGATGCACGAGTACACTGAAATTGTTGGGAATACCGTAATCGAGCTATATTCAAATCCTGCGTTAATGATACCTGCGGATCCGAATGATTTCTGGGCTGTTCTAACGGCCGATGCGGTCTATCGAGCCGTGGGACTTGCAGCTTTTCACCTTTTCGACGTGCTTGATTTCGAGACCTGGCTCTCTTCGACGCTTTTCGGTCAGCTGAAGGTCCAGCATCCACACTACAAAGTGTTGAAAGATAGAATTATCTGGCTCATCGGTGAGAATTTATCGAATGTTGCTGGTAATACAGTTGAAACCTCTTTAGGTAGAACTTCGAGAGACCATCAGAAAAATTGAAGTAAGGGACGTATACGTCTGGGGAAACGAGCGTTTTTGTCGTGGGAAAGAAAGGAGAATTTGCGCATGTAATTGTAATCCGCGATATTCTGTGCATCAAATTAATTTTAAATTAGTTGACAGGATGCTGAGCTTGGAGGCAAGGGTTTATTTGCCCGATTGAATTTTCACTTCCTTTCGAAACACGTCAAGTTGAATTTTTATTGCTTCCTTTTTCCTGTGTCAAAATAATATTTCGGCCTACAGAAAATGTAAGTCACGAAGGTTTTAGCTAAGAAGATTCGAATGCGTTGTTTCTGAGGGGATTCAGATATGGACTTGGGAAAAATCAATATAGAGAGGTATTGGACTTGGGGATGTTCAAGTTTCCGGCGTTCAACTGTAATTTATTCACTTTTCGTATTGAATATGAGGTGGTTCATCATCTTCATGTCGTGAATAACATGTATTAATGCAGTATCTGCCCGATATTCTTCATTTCTGTTGTACGATGGAATGCTAACCCTGTCCGCCCACCCCGACAGGTCGCTGGATAGTAGTTCGAATTCGTTTTGAGATGCGTCCGGCACTCTACGAAGAAATTCTTCCGTTTATCGGTGGAACGGGTGGTGATGATCTCGGAGACAACGGGAGGGAAGTTGCTGAAAACGATGTTGTTGTTCGTCTTCAAGCAGCAAATACTCTGAAACTCGCTGTGGATGATTTCGAATTCAATGTGGAACAGTTTCTTCCGTACCTCGAGCCGACGTTTTTACGGCTTTTCGTCCTTCTCCAGGAGGTCAAAGAATGTGACACCAAGGTAAACATTTTATCGAGCCGAATTTGTAAAGGTTTTTATTTAAATTGGTCATATTCAAAAACAAATATTTTGCGAGTGCTATCATTAACATTTTTGATTAGCTAATTCATCACACCAACCACGTTCACTTCGGCCTTCATGTTGCAGCTCCGCGTTCTTCATGTGATGTCTTTTGTTGTTGAACGTGTCGGAGTCAACATCAAGCCGTTTCTTTCTGGTCTCGTCGATTACCTACCGCGGCTGTGGAATGAAGCCGTCGATCATCAGATGCTGAAAGCGTCTATCGTATCCACGCTTGTGCATATTGTGGACAGCATTGGTCGTGACAGTGGATCATTGTATTCTTTTCTTCTCTCAATTGTGCAAGCAAGCACGGATGCTTCATCCCCTGATCACGTTTACCTCCTGGAAGACGGTTTAGACTTGTGGTTGGCTGTGCTGAAAAACGCTCCTGAGCCGAAAGCTGATCTCATTGCCATTTACCAGAGAAATATGCCTGCTCTGTTGGGTGAGACTTCGATGATGAGTTCGTTTATGTGTCAGTGCTTTGTTCAGAGCACAAGGGTTGGTTGAAAAGTGATTACATTACCTTAATCATTTTTGTAAAATAATTGTATGAATCAAATTCAATTCGGGGTTTCTTAATACCGTGAATCATGCAATGATATCACCTCCAAAGATTTTGGAAAATCAAAATTCACACTAGATCGTCCGAGATAAGCTTTTTCAAAAGAAAAGTAACATTTTTAAAAATATTTAAAGGAAGTCTTCTTTTCAAATCATCCTGTACAGTTGAACATCCTTGTTCAGCCTGACTCGAATAACTTTGAGTTCATTGATTAGATTTTAGGAGATCCGTAACGTTGTTTACTGTATACCGTTTGACCGAATGCCATTTTTTGCGAATGCCTTGGACTTCATCTCCTATAAAACTTTCCCATTGATTTTTTGGAATTATTAACTAGTCAGGAATGTCAGATGACAGGGGCATGAAGTGGCAGACATGCTCATCAAGAAATCTTGTCACGCACGCTAAGTCAACTGTTCAGTGTGTTTCTTACCTCTTTTACCATGCGAATAAATACGAATCTTGTCGTGGATTGGTTTAATGTTGCATCATAAAAATCACCATACTTAATAATCGGCACTTGAAACTGATGCGCTTAGAACTTGAATAATGGGAGGTTGGCGAAGTTGTTGAACTTATCATCGTTCATAGGTTTTCTCGTCAGGAGATCGGAAAAAGTGTTTCACCTGAAACTTTCTGGGGAATGTATGATTTTTTATTCAATTTTTTTTTACTTACGAAGACGAATTGTTTTGCAGAACTGTCTGGGGAAACCTTGCTGATATGCTTGAAGATTGTAATGTCCTACGTTTATTTGTGCCCGGAGGAATTTGTTAACGTAAGTTGAATTTTTGAAATTTCTTAAAACGATCACGTCGCAATTTCCCTCTCCTATTTTTTATTACAGCAATGCGGAGCGTCGTTATCCGAATACTTGCTTAACGCGATGCCGGAAATGAACCGTGAGGGTATGCTAGCGTGCCTACGAGTTGCTGAGTTGCTGATTCGAGCCCTTCCCTCGGAGGCTCCTCCGATGATGCGTAGTCTTATTGAATGGATACTCGCGGATTTGTTGTCTCGTGGGGAAACAAGTTCCTCTGCGATGATCACTGCTTTGGAATTTGCCATCTTGTCCCGTGCATTGCTGTTTTGTCCGGATCTGATGCAAGCGATTGCGCATGAAATGGCCTTATGCGCACCCGACAGAGCCTCCAGAGGAGATCCAGCTTTTCAGTGGGCTTTGAACGCTAATGCGCCCGGAAGCAGTGCCTTTATTTGGGCTACTCTGTTGGATCTGTGGATTTCCAAGTTTTCTCTGTACGTTTCCTCGGCGAAACGGAAAACAATGGCTCTTGCAATGGCGAGCATGTTGAGAACTCGTGAAAGGTATATCTTTTTAAGCAATGATTTTGCTGGCCGTATCGTTGCACAATATGACTAAAAGCTTGACTTTTCTCACTGAGGAAACTCGATCATCCGTCGGCTCAAATTCTTGAATTCAAGTGTAAATTTATGTCTATTTTTTAATTTATTAGCTTTACTTGACGTAACCTAAAAAACATTTACTGTACTGTACTTAATTCGATGTTAGATTCCCGCAAGGAAATTCATGATTTTTCATGCATCGAATGCCATCTTGAAAAACAGGTGTTCGGAACTTGTCCTCCATCGCTTAGGTTCCTGCAAAGTCATGTTCAAAAAAATACCTACCGTATTTCATGTTACCTTTCATTGTACAGTGCAGTATAAGATTTCCATTTTTTTAAATCTAGACACAGGAAAAAAAGAAACGTAGTCCCCAAAACCCGGAAACTGATTTCCATGTCCAGTTCGGAAATTCAACTTCAGTTTAAATTTTTCTTCGTCAAGCATATTTCCACTCCTCAACATCGAAAAGCACTTACAAATCAATCAGGATTACTATGCAAATTTTGGGCTATTATTACCCTAATAATAATTACATTGGGTCGAACATAGTTGAAGTCACACGTTTTCTAAATGTGCTGTAAAGGAATTAATTCGTTTAAAAAAAAGTTTAAAAGCATTTAAAAATACATTTATGAAAAAATTCAGCTGCGAACGTATACCCGACACCTATCGCATTTTAATGACTGAAAAGGGCAGCAAATCACGAAGTTAGAGGACCGAAATGAACATAAATATACTTACCGGATTTCTTGAAATGAAAAAAGAAAATCTCGTCGAGGATAAACACCAAGAAACATGGTTGAACTTCTAATCTTGACGACTAAGTTCGAGCTCAGTATTCCTTGATATTCGACTTTATGCACAAAATAATAATAATAATGTACTCAGCGAAGGAAACACTTTCCTAGTTGTAGAAAGCGAATGTTCTATAGTCTATATACTCCATAGTCTATAATAAACAGTACTGGTGAATCAAGTGTTGATCGACGTCCCCACTGTGAAGATTGACGAATTTTGAAAATTCTGTCTTCTTTTTTTTAGTTTATAACTGCTAATTTTACCGATCGAATTTTCTTTTCTCTTGTATAAAAAAGAAAAGATACCGTTTCACAACAAAGGTGGGATATCCCTCATCGATTTCGGAAGAGATTGATGCAATTTCATGGAGATTTCCTCGTCATTATCCACTTCAAGTTTTTACTATTTTCAATGCTATGTTCAAGATTGATTTGAACAGCCTTCATTAAGCTTTTTATATTTTTCTTTCTGCCTAGAAGTGTAAAATTCAGGATTTATTACAGTATCTTCATGTGATGGGCTATCCAATTTTAGGGTAATCCTGGAGCGTTTCTGCGGTATTCTGTTGTGCATTTGCGAGACGATGAATGATGCCGAAGATACAGACGATCTCACGTGCATCATGGAGTGAGTAATTGAGGTTTTTTCACCTTGCGTGAATTGACTGAAATGCTCTGTACCGTTTTTCAGTAATTTGGCGATAAAAGAACCGTCCAGTGAGTCACCAAGTTCGCTTTGCGAGGATGAGACATGGATGCAACACGAATCTCCTCAAGATGAGAGAAAGCGCATGATGGCTAGAAATGACCCCATTTTCACCCTGAGTCTTCGGGATTTTGCTCAAAAACATGTACGATGATTTTCCAAATCGCGTTTGTTTCGGAATTCAGAATGCCGTATTTATTGTGTGTGACTGAACGTTGATGGTGAACCTGCGTTCTTATCCTTCTCCAGGTGAATTTGCTGAAAGAGTTGCTGGGATTGGAGCAGTTTCAAATTTTGTTGACGTCCGTGGACAGCGAGGTGATGAAGAGCGCCCGCGCTATTTTCGAGCTGTGAGGTGGTGGCATTCCTTCTGTGAAGGTGTAACTAGGAATGTGCAAAACATCTTTTTGATCATTACTTTTAATCTTGCTGCTTCGAAGTCGCCGATTTTTTTTCCTGTTTTTCAACGTCAAGCGATTCCTCGTTTGAATTTTATGATGTGTTTTCTATGACCGATGGGCTGATTAGTACTTGATGCTTTTCTTTGATTAGGCTTGTTGTTCGGCATTGTTTGCTTTGGGAACTCGTTGTGTTCAAAACGTTCGTTTTAAAGTTGTTATACCGCGTTGGTGCTCAGAAGCAAATTAAACAATTCCAGTGAATAATTTTCTCCTTTTTTTTGTTCTTGGTGTCAGACATGTTCATCATGCCTTAGATTTCTTTGAAGTTGAACCGCATGTACGTGATGACCTTTCAACTTTCTGAAAGCGTAATCACGTATTAGTTCCCAAATGAAACACCTATGATCAACGATGCTTTCAGAGATTTTACGAGTTAAGAGAGAACCACGCCCAAAGCTGACAGTTTTATTATCACCCTGGGCGGAGTCCGGTTGAATTTCGACGTGGAATTCGTCGACAACGTTTTGAGTTTGGCAGTTTTTCGGGAACTCTGTTGTTCTTGAGGAGCGAATAAGAGAGACGTTCGTGTTGCCTGTTCGTTGTGCTATTCGTTCCGTCGCAATGTCAAGGCGAATGAAGGCGTCCGTTATCCCTAGCAGATCTGTTCTTTCCCGCGTGAGATGGACATAACTTTGGAGTTCAAGGCATGCGTGAAAGTGGCTAAGCTTGGCTCCGGCGGCACAAAAAAGCCGAACAAGTGTGAGCGAGAAAAGTCTGACTTTGAGCGTCGTGCCCGCGAACTGGTTGACGACATTTCGAAACTCAAGGAGTTCTTGCTTCGCAATCGCCGGGGTTACCTCAACTCTGCGTGGCATGGCACATGCGAGGGCCTTACAACGGGTGTCCCACGAACCCAAGCTGGCTTGACGGATTCTGATCGAGACGAAATCGACGCCTGGTGTTCGGCGTTGGTGAAAGGCTTGCGCCAATCCATCACGGGTTTTCGGAAAAACGTTGCGTTTTCTTCATCGGCCAATCTGCAAACGCGGCAGCACAGGGAAGCAGTCGTGCATCTGATCGATGGTTTCTTGAAAACGGTTTGTGACGTCTATTCTGAGCTGAGGGCTCTCCGAGTGAAACGAACTGTTGAGAGAAGAGGCATTGCGAGGCTGGCTTTGAGAGGACAGTTTGGGTTGAGGAGACGAAAAAACCTACCGCCTGATTCCCAGGATCCTCTTCAGGCGAACGAATCCCCGAAGAAGCCGATGATTATTTCTCAGAATGTTGCGGATTTTGAGGACGCCGATTCAGCCAAAGAAAGCGAGGAATTATCTCCTGCCGAATTGCAAGTCCTGGAAAGTGAGAACATTTCCCTAATGAACCGGTTGCACACCATGAAGAATGAAGTTCAGCAGATTGAAGTGAGTTGCATTTATTTCAGACGATTGTGATACTGTGTCCCGTATCCCCGAAAATACGTCAGTTACCGTGTTGACATTATTTTCCCTCGAGAAAAGTGCGCTGAGGCTAATTTTAGGGGGAGTTCCATTTTTTTCACGCTTAGCGATCCCAATTGTTTAAACAAGGACGTGTTACCGTCTTTTGGACCTCTTACATTTTTCTCCGGATTTCTCCAGAATGGGAAACCAAATCTTTCGATACATCTAGGGATTTGGATTGTGACATTATTAAATTGACATTGATTTCATCGTGATTTTACATTGATTCATTATTGATCCAACTACAAATCTTCAATGGAAAAACGATAATGCGAACTGTTCAGGAAGCTCCAATTATGGATGAAAGCTGTTGAAATTGCGCTAGTTTGACGAGGAGCTCGATTGTTTCAGGGGAAAGTTTTGAAGATAGCACAACTTCAAGAAGTTTTCACGAAAAAAGTCTTGGAGCAAGAGAAAGATATTGAAGTCATTGGCCAGGCTGCTATTCGTGCTACGGAAAACGTAGTGGAAGGCAACGAACAAGTTCGGGAAGCAATGAAAAAGAACGCCGGGCTTCGAGTGTGGATTTTGTTCTTCTTTCTCATCATGTCCTTCGCCATTCTATTCCTCGATTGGTACAATGTGTGATGAGCGAAGTCTTCGCACTGATAAGGTTGCCTTTCGGGGAAGAACTGTTTGTGTTGATTTGTGGCTTTCATTGAAAGAGGTGATAATTTGAATCTGGAAATTGTTCGAACTGTGTTGAATTCTTGCAGTTCATCGACCTTCTTTAAACGTCTGACATTTTTTACTTTTAGAATCTTCGATCGACGCTTTCTTTCTTCGCAATTCGTGTGATGTGTTCATGATGAGTTCAGGCTAGTGAGAAACAGGAAAATTTATCATGCCGCCAAACGTGATGCTGGAGTGCAATTGGGCCTCCGACAGAGGCCTCAACAGTTTACTGACGCTGCATGAGTGCGGAAAGCCGTTTACAACTTTAGGATTGTGAGTGAATTTATTTTTTGTTCTGTCCAATCACCTCGATTGGACAGAACCAAAAGTGGTAGCTCTTGTACTACTGGAACAATAACATTCGTGTTCGTCTCTGCTTTCTATTTTATCCCGAATTCTCAGAATCCCAATGGATAACATTGTGACGGTGAACAACAGGGTGCGTCTGTTTGATGAGTTGCAATCGTCGCAAGCGTTGGAGTTGAATTTCTATGTAAGGGAAAACGTAAATTACAGCGTGACGGGACTGACGATTATTTCCGAGGTCAGTATTTTCATCCAAGATCTACGACGGATATCTCATGGGCACTTTACATTTTGCTTTTTGTGCTTCTAGATCCCGATATTCGAAGTTTTCTCCGGAGAGGAAATGGAGTATGTGGGAACGGTCGGAGGCTACGCCGTTGAGAACGTACCGGAAATAGTCTCGTATAGAGTGGATCTATTGTTGCCCTTTCGAGTTAAAACCAAAGCCACGCTGAAAGTGAGGAGCATTCTTTTCCTCAATTTGAAGAATTGTTAGTCTAGCCGAGGGTATTTTATTTTACTACGTGCATCTAAAAAGCTGTACTTGAGTTTCAATCGGGAATTTTGCGTAAGCAGCTCTTATTTTAATTCTGCAGCGTATATGAATGTAACGAAGAATTTTCAGGTTGTTTCGGAGCATAAATTATCCATTTTTGCAATATTTTCAGTACAAGTCCCCTCCTGGAAAGCGTTCGCTTTGGATTTTCGGCGTCGGTGTTATGTGGGACTATCTTCCGGAAATGGCTTCATGCATGGATATGAATCAAGTTGTCAACTTATTGTCGAGTGGACGTAGAAAACCAGCATCTGATACGGATATGACGCTAGTTACGAAGCTTTGCGAAATCTTCAATTCTTCTGGAGGTTCTTTGGAGTACGGGAAGGTCAGTCAAAGTCCACGAGGTGTCAGCGATGGCAATCTGCGTCAAGAATCCTCTTCAGGTAATAAAACTGTTGTCTACCGTACTTACATTTCTGTCGACCTGTAGGACCAGAAAAAACTGGACCAATTTTGAACAGTTGAGTACCTTGTGTGGTCTGAACTACCACGTCGAAAATATGCTAAAAATATACGGTCGTTGAAAGCCCCGTTTCAAGGTTACCATGATTATTTATGACGACAAAAAACCAGAAAAATGATATCGGTACTGTACTTGCTTTTGTAATACTGTACAGTACAGTACTGTATTTTGATTCTAGCAGTTTTGCACGTTTCAGCCTAAACTTTGTTGAGCTTGGCCTCCATGCTTTGCATAAAAATAGTAAGCCTATTCCTTTCTGAATTCATGCCTGTTTTGATGAGTTCTCCCGTTTCGAAAGTCATAGAAAGAACGAATGCAAGTTCTTGAAAATAGCGAACGAATTTCTCACTGTTGGAAGTTCAAACGAATCCGAACCGTTACTTGAAAATCTGCCATAATTAAACTGAAAAGAAGAGAAAGCGTGTGAAAAAATGGTCCATTAGGTTTTTTAGTGAGGTTGGCGATGCCATTCGAACTTGATTCATAAACCGTTGTAGATTTTATTTTTTGCTGTAGCGATACCTTTTTACGATCAACCATATGTCGCTGTTCAAAACTTTATCCACTTTTTTGTGACCCACAGGGCACACATTCGTGTTGATGCTATAAAATGTGTTGAAATTTCAGAAATTTGCGAAGGTAAAGGCGATGTTGGGACATCCGAAGTTGAAGCATTGTCTGCTCAGTTGAATCCGTCGAACAACGAAGAGGTTGCGGCTCGAGTTTCCGACCTGACTGCGGAGTTCGACGCGTTTCGGGACAAGGTGGAAAACACTTTACATGAGCATTCGCAGCGACTGGGTCTAGTGTGTGATGCGGTGCTTTCGAGGTCTCGAGCCATCCACACGCCCGCTGGAGATATCGAAAAGCTCCAGTCGGAGTTTCGTAAACTTGAGTCAGAGTTTCGCGTTCGAATGCAGGCTCAGGACCATAAGTTGGATTCAATTTTACGCATTCTAAGACGAGAAGGTTCTTAGCCACGTATTTTGAAACGCACATGGTGTTTAATTTTCGGGCTTTGAGACTCTTCGCACATCATGCCCCGCTTTGAAGAACAGCTTTTGGATGGTTGTTGGTTGGTCTTGATGACTGATTGTTGGAAATCTTTTTCTGGATTGCGGTTCGATCCGGTTGTTAGTCTTCTACAATTTTACGTTGTCTTCGGGTACTGAAAATAGCTAGTTTTAGAAAGAAAAAAAAAAAACGGATTCCAGCGATCCTCCAGTAACTTAGCTGACAACATTCGATTTGTTTGGCGTAATTGATGAACTTGACCAACGAGGGCGTGTTTGAAAATTTCGAACTGGAAAGCTGAAAATACTGTATTAACACGTGCCGTAAAATTGTGAACCGCACCGGGATTTTCCAAGATTTAGAATCAATGCAATTGTAAGTAAGAAACTTAACGATCAATGCATCTCAAAATTGAGTGTTCTTTCCCAAACGCGTCCTTGTCAGATGAAATGCTTGTGATACACGTTTATTCCTGGGAACAGGCAAATCTTTTGGCGCATCATTTCCCTATTCTATTATTGGTCTTCCGAAAGATTTTTTTTAAATTTTAATCACGGTAGGGACCGCATATGTGAATTTTTTCTGTAGCTGACGGAGATGCGAATGTGTTTTCCATTCGCGATATATTCAAGTTCGTTTTAGCATTCTTCTGTCTTTCGCGCACATTCCTTTATCGGGAAAATTGCTTTATTGTGAATTTCGTGAGGCTGCGCTTTATTTGGAAGAATTCGAAGAATATGTTAGTTTTCGCACGATCGGCAAGAAATATCCAGAATTGTTTCCCGATTTCAGCAGATCGATGAGAACGAAGGATCCAGGAATTTCGGAAGAATAAAATTCACCCTGTTGAAATCTTTTGAGATGACCTGTAAGCCGTTGCCATTGTTCCCAAGTGATTGAAAACTTCCTTGCGCAAAAAGTTCGCGAGCAGAAACATGTCGTGAAAAGTGTTGTACAGCATGTGCGGAGAAATTCGCAGAATATTGGGCTTCTTGTAGTCCAGCTGTGAAGATAGGAAGTCCAAAAAAAGATCATATTGGACCTCTGTGAACCTGGTATGCAGTTTATTTCGATTGTAATGCATGTCAAAAAATTTATCATTCGGACGTTTACCACAAATCCAGCTTTTGTCAAGGCTGTGTAAATCACATCTGCCCTGGGTATTCTCATGATGAAGGTGATTTGGTTGCCCCGTTCCTTTGGGTTAGCGGGCGTCAGCACCTTGAAGACTTTTGGGCTTGCGTGGAAAGATCAATGAATGTAATTATCATCGAACAAAGTTTGGAAGGAATGTAGGCATACTCGGGAACTGTGAGTATTCCCTCTTTATCTCCTCGTAATCCGAAGGTATCCATAACGTCTTGATTCAGTTTAGCCACTAGCGCGTCGAAATACCCGTTCAACCAGAAGCGCTTTCTCTCGATTGCTCTCATGCATGTTCTATCAAAAACCTGGAGTATGAGATATTCAGTTCAAACCTGAAATTGCCTTTGAATTGCTGAAAAGGCCGAATTTTTCCGAATTATTTTTACGCATATCAGTTTCGTTGTTCTGTCTTTCAATGAAGTGTTGGAATAATTATCTATTCTTATAATAAAAGTGGATTATCTGTGCAACGAAATTCAAGGACCAAAAAATTTCCTTGCTGAAAAAATTTCGTTTTCTATAAGATTTTTTTTTTACAGAAAATATCGTTGTAGATGGAGTCCACCTGTATTTGCGTGTGAAGGTATATCGTTAGGTAGGTTCGAATTTATAAAAAAATGCTCAGTACTTCAATAACAAATCGTGAATATTTCTACCACTGACCATGATATTAATATTTATAGATCAGGCACGAAAAATTAAATATAGACCTGAACTGAATTCAGAAAACTAAAACCCTAAAAAATGTCTCCGCATGCGGTAATTGAATTATGAGGAATGTGCGTGGTGAAAGTTACTCTTGCTAAGATACGGTAATTTTAGGTAATCCTATCAATCCGCGATTTCCCATTTCATTCGTTTTTTTTTCTATGTGAACGTAGATTCAATTATGGACAACTTATATGTTTCAGGACGTTTCTAGAACGTTCTGAAGCAATTAAAGGTGCAACTTCAATCCGCAAGCAAATGGTGTAGTTTTTATTTATTGCTGTATTGGATGCTGAGAGCGCAGAAATGTACCTTAATGTAAATGTTGAAGTTGTTTAATGTCTGCATCATTCAAAGGCATTAAAACCAATAATTGACTCAAAACGAATAAATGATAAGATCTTGAGTAAAATTAATCGATTACACTTGGTGCGCTAATGAAGAATATTTACTCACCTCCATTGCAGCGTACAAAGGAACCGTATTCCACACGGATGCCATGGAAATGCGGAAAGCGTTCGCTCCTAAAGAAGCGTCGAGCTCGGGATTCATGAAGAATCTCTTCTCTTCCTTGACGCCCCACCATCCTTCCAAACGAGGTGCTGATCTGTCCCAGTGGTTTCTGTGTACGAAAGCTCCTCCAATTGCTCCTTGTCCGCCGCACAAGTACTGGTAACAAGTTCCGGTTCGTTAACACTTCTAACTTTAATAGTCGGTTCTCTTTTGGTCGTTGGATTTATTCCGCTCTGCACTTATGACGGTTTCATGACAATTAGTGTGACGCGGATTGCAAACGATTCGTTTTATTAATGTAATTACCATGGTAATTATATGATGAAGAGGGAGAATGCCTCGAGCTGTATTGTGCGCCGCGTTGCGCATGTTTTACCGCGATTGAGGTAAAATGTCCAGTATTTGAATCAGATTGAAGTTTCAGATTTTTTCGCGATGAAGTAAAAAAGCGAACGCCGAACTGTTCGTGAAATTGAAGACCGAACGAAAGACCTGGCCAGAGAAAATATTTTTGATCTGAAGAGTTTCTGGAAAAGTTTCTTTTTTTTCGAACCGATTCCGTACGAAAAACGCATTTGATTGAAAAATGCTAGTACTTTCGAGCTATTAACAGGAGCCAGGTTCATGGCGATTTGTGACATGTTTGAACATGTTACTGTCAGTTGAGTTTATGCACGATTCAAGAGAATATTTTTCTTCAAATTCTTCCGAGAATTATGAGTATTGAACCATTAGAAACGTTTTGAACCATTAGAAACGTTTTGAACCATTAGAAACGTTTTGAACATTGGCATTTCCGTAATTGCCAGTTTCTTCTTCGGCGAATTTATTTTCTCTCTATCAATCATCGTTCTCCTTGGCTTATTTTATACATTATGGGGCATCTGGAATGATTCTTGTCTCGACCAATTGCTAAGTACAGTATTGGGAAATTCTTTCAATTTTCGGGAGTTCATTATTCAAATATTATCAATGAGAGATTTACATTTTGTCGAATTCTCCTTCAAAATAATTTTAGACATTGTTGTACATTATATCATGGTGTGCTGTCTTGTCTATTATTGTACAGATCGCATATTATTTGTGAAGTATTTCGAACGCCATTTCTCATACTTATTGGCTTACGACACCCAACTTCATAAGTTACGAATAAGCACTTCAACTAGCTTTCAAATGGGTTGCATTCTCATCATGTTCTGTAAAATAAACCCCGAACTTGACTGTGAGTGATCGTTACTGGCTTGCCACGAGAAGGTACCAAACAGGTCTAACCCACGATCCAGTTAGTGGCGCTAAGTTAACCAATTTATTCAATTTTCTCAAGCGCAAATTTTTGCGGGCTCATCAACATCCAATCTGATTTGGAATGAGCTCTTGATTTTGTTGAAGAATGCAAAAAATACACCTTGTATGAGCACCACACGGCGAAATCCACGTTCCATCGATGCAAGTGCATTTCGCAGTTGCCAATCATATGTGCTAAGTCGAATCCGCAAACAGCACCTTGGGCATGAGCAGCTTTCGTGACTCCTTCGAGGTCAAACCTCTGTCCTTTTTCAAACGAAAATTATCAAGTTAAATGAATGCGCTGTATTAATTCTTTCTTGCGTTTTGCGCAGAATGGTCACCTGTGAAAAATTGAATTCCTCCAAAACAAACGAGTGCTGTTTGTTTCCCATGTTTTTCAATTGCGTCGATTACGTCCTCGTTACGGAGGAACCTCTCGCCTTGTCGTGGTTTTACTTGTATCAGTGCTTTGTCGGGGTCAAGTTTGTGGAAGCGTATTTGCGACTTGAAGCAATACTGGACAAAATTAAAACTCAGAGGTCAAAGATGAGATATGTGAAGATTTTCAGCAAATTTTGATATCACGAGTGGCTTAAGTCAGAGTTGTGAGGTAGGAGGATCCTTGTCATATTTACAGAAAGGTTAGCAAAATTCCCCAATGAAAATTCTGAATGAATCTTCGTTACCTGCAGTTAAATAATCTAAGATAGCTGAATTTTCAGCAATGGCCTGATTGATCAGCTACGCAAAAGGATCGTTACAGTTCAGTGAAATCATTGGAGAGGACGTGGAGTAGGTTAAGTTAAATGATGAGAAAATTCGATACAGTTAAAGTATAAAGAGTTCTTCAACCCAAAAAAACCAAGCTGAATTGCTCAAAGTTCAGTACAGTACTTGAGTGGCATTTCTTGATATATGTTCGGAAATGGCATCAGTGTGTAAAGTGGACGAATAAATTATTGCTTTGTTCAGGAATACTCACCAAATCTGAAGAAAAGGGATTTTCTTCGCAAATTATTTTATATCGCCCGACTCGTGGCTGGTAAAAATGAATCATGAGGAAGTGCAGGTTAACTGTACACCCGTTCATCAGCGTGATCTCTCCTTCACGAGCCCCGACCAGTTTCATGAGAGCTCTCGTGGGTTTCTGATCGATGCCCATGCCCGCAAATCTACCCTCGAAGTTCTGCCATACTCCCCTTAGGAAAGATTGTCTTGAGTAGCTCAAATGGAAGTTAGAAATGTATGGCGATTGATGTTAAATACCAATTTCCCCAGTCTCGCAACAATTCACTCATGTAGTTATCCACGGTTTTCACTTTGAGACCTAGGAGATTGCTGCACAGGTAAACTACAGGGTCATCTGGTCCGACGTTTTCCTTGTCAACTGATGAACACCCGCGATTTTTTAGTGGATTAGAATAGGATAACCGTGTAAGTATTTGGAGCTTACGTTCAAGCAATTTTGATGCACAGTATCGGTAGCTTAGCCGCTTGAAGTTCAACTTTTTCTTTAATTTTCCTACCGTTATTGATTCCAAATAATAAATCTCTGCAGTATACTGCAGATATTGGAAGTGCCTTCCAGCGTGCTGAGGTATGAAGCCTAAAACTCGCGTTGATGAGGTGATTGTGACCAATGAGAAGTATGTTATTTTAACTTCGTGAAGCAAAAGGTTATCTTCCTCTTATAAATGATGCATTGCACTGAAAAATTTAAATTCTCAACTATTTTATTCGATTTTTTTTCCAGAATACGTTAGAATCAACCTTGAGAGAAATTATACAATTCGCCGGGAATTTGTAAAAAAGAAGCAGTATTCGGAGTTCGGATGCCTGGAAGTTATCGTAGAGTTACATTTTGGACTATCCATTTCTGCATAGTTAATTTTCCCGTCTTAACTTATTCCTCACGACGATTTATAGGGTATATTACTGTATTTGCATCAGTACTTACTATATTACTGCCTGAATTAATGTGTTTACACTTTTGAAACCACCCACATAAACAAGAACCGTATTTTACTTGCGAATCTGACACGCCATGAATTATATAAGACGCACCCGGCTTTGTGGGAGTCGACAACTAAAAATGGTGTCATATATTCCCATAAATACGGTATTTTTCTGACTGGCTTTGTCACATAATTTTTACCTCGTGCGCAGTCAACCTTTTTTGGGATGACGAATTCGTCTTTCAGGGAGCGTAATTTATCCATTCCATCCAATCGGGCCGCAAATTCTTCGGAACTGACGTTGACATCGAAGTGATCTGCCAGAATTGAAATGAAAGGTTCCGGGCTGATGTACGCGTACGGATTTGTTGCTCGCGTCAGCTTCTGTTCCGGAAGATTCCGCACTTAGCGTAAGTTTTATTTTTCAAGAATTTGCTGAATTTCTTGGCGGATTATTATTTTTTACTTCTGAAACTGCTGGTTCCATTGGATCGAAGGCCTTGAGTTGATCTTCGATTTGAAGAACATCTTCTTTTCGCCGCTCGTCGAGGATGGATTCAGTTTTCTTTCCTTTATGTTTCTTCTGTGAGCGTATACATTTTCAGAGAGGGTTCTTTTCAAGGGAAATTCCGAAGTTCTCTTGGACTCTTACTGTTCTGAACTCGGAAGTTTGCTTCTTGTTCGAGTTTCTCTTGCCTCGCGGTGTAGTGGTAGTACTCGTGCTGTTTTCGCAGGATCCGATTTGCGGCTTGAGCGGAATTGCTTCTGCTTCTTTGTCTGCCATCAATTTTACGGTAGAAACCGTTGAAGGTTTTTCCAGATTTAGAGCGCGGGCGCTTAAGGGGCTATTGAGTTTCCTGTAATTATGAGAATTTTTCAGCTGCGTCGAGTTTACGAGGCAATTTGAAGAAGAATTTTCTTTTCGCTTTTACTTTCGTGCGGTACTTTCAACGGGCTCACGTCGTGCAGGGGTCTGGAAGCAATACTTCACACAAGTTTCTTCGAATCGCGATGGAATTAGGAACTGTTGTGGATCGCGGATTAAGAAATGAAGCGCATGGATGCAAGCAAAACAAAAAACAAAAAAATAACCCGGGATGAGGAGCATGATGGATAACACGCGCCTTGAAGATGTATCCTATGCTTTGGGATACAGTCAGGGATCCGCCTTGTATTGATGTGAATGCTTCTTGTCGAGGATGAGCCTGGAAAAGATTTTTTTTCTGTGCTGTTGCGGTCCCATTATTGAAGTATACTTCTATGCGTGATCGTACTTGCTCATAGTCTTCTTAATATATACTGATCATACTCGGAGAGGATCAGATCAGCCTCTTGCGAGTTGCCGCATCGTTCTCAGCAAACGGGCGTTGAGATCCGTTGGAAAGTTACAGTCGTGTTTATATCGAACTTTGCCATTTCAACTGCGTGTGCATTTTTTTCGGTTCATATAGTGACCTAGCGAGTGAAGAAACGAAGAAAGATTACTGCATTATGGGTTGGAAGCGTTTCGTCGTCAGGTTAGCAATTCGCAACTTTTCACGCAACGATTCTCTGCGTATTCAATTTATTTTTAAGGAAAGATTTGAAATTTTCTGATCCCAGTAGGTTCTAATAATGCATGATCAGCTCAACTACGAGAATGAAGGATAAAGATTTCACCTTATATTTCATTTTCACGTTATTCTGATGAAAGTATCCTCAGTAAAGTGAATGTACGAGCGATTCACGAGTATTGTGTATACCATGGACTTTCAAGCTTGAATATTTGACAATTTTTTTACATTCAGTTTTCAGTAATGATCACGTGGGAAAGAGAGATGTACCTACATTCTGAAGATAATATTGTAACTTACAGAGTTTTGATTCGATCCTTGATTTGGCGTTTTCCTGCTCAGTTAGCAATGCACTTCTTCCCATTTCCTCTCGTTCATGAGCAGAAAGAAGTGATTAATAAATAAATAAAACAGTTCGAATGAATCATCCTCTCCCTTTGATTGTCTGGAAAGGTTTTCTATTTTTTTAAGCAACTGCGGGGATAGGAAAGAATGACGATTCAGTGATGAACATTTTGTGCATCATTAAATTGTATCACGATCGAAGGAGCTCTTTTTTAAAGGAACACAGAGCCAAGATTTTGCTTTTGAGATTCTCCGTGTTCAAGTTCATTGGACTTGCTCGGCTTTCGTCATCATGTTGTAGAACCGTAGATCCTATGGGATATTGGGTGGTAGGAAAGAAGATCACTGTCGTGTATGACGCCGGTGTTTGTGCGGTTGTCATATTTAGTCTCGTTTAGATGGATTGCGTTCTTTGTCATCGCTGATGTAGGTTTCCTCTGCAGTTTATCAGCTCACCGTCGTAATAGTTCGGTTGCGGTAAATGCCACCTATATTATATATATGGGCTGAGTCTGCTCTATGTCCCGCAACGTTTCTTGACAGAAAGTCTACACGCTCTTATATTTTCGACCAAGTTATGACACGTAATGTTGATTTTTCTATCCGAAATTGTCGAGTTGATCCGCATTTTGAAGAGGATTCAGCCATGCTTCATTTGTCTGTCTGAGACACAACTGACTAAGAATGTCGAAGAAAGTGTCCTCAGTTGAGCGTGGATGTACGAGCAATTCATGAGTTACTGTACAGCAGTTAACTTTATTGCTTGCATATATACACTGGACGCACCTACAAATTTGAATATTCGGTTATTTTTGCATTCAATTCTAAAATTACTGTAAACAGTATATATATACTCGTACGGATGTTCTGGATTAAGTGAGCGATGGGAACAATCTTCCCAGTCAAGAGGACCTCGCGTGATTTTCGGCGTGGATGAAGGAAATAAATACGAGCTTTTATTGAGCTAAATCCGTGATAAAGGGAGGGAAGTCGTTAAATCCTTTATTTGTCCTGAAGTGGAGCAATTTTTTGGAGACGAAAAGTTAAATTTGTGCCATACTCAAAAATAAAAGTTTTTTCTTCAATGATTTTAGTGTATGAATTAGCCGCGATTTACGTGATGAAGAAGGCCGAAAATCGACCTTTCTTTTGCCTATGTATTGAGTATACTATCGGGGCTGTCCGTATGATGCAGTAATTAATTTATTTTTTCATGGGGTCCCACCTTTCAAAACAAATTCCGTAAATGATGTGTTCAGCATAACTATGGAAATTATTCCCATTTTTTCGGTCAAGTGATGCTTGAAGACTTTTCTCCTTAAACCTCCATACCAAGAATTTTCCGCAGGATTTTTGGCTATTAAAATACTTTGCTGACACGGGGGAGAGAAAATCAATGAAAAAGTAACGATGTGTTCTAAAAGGAAGTGAAAGACTGATTGAGCAAACGAACCCTTGCCTATAAGTTCAGCATCACGTCACCTGATTTAAGAAGAAATTTAAAACCTATCGATAATAGAATATTAAAAATTACAATTTTCTGTACAGTAATTCTTTCTTCTTTCCCCGCAAAAAATGCTTGTTTCCGTAACTGGAAACCTCCCGGGCTCAAATTTTTTGCCAATTTCTTATGGTTTCGCGTGAAAGAGGTTCGACTATATACATTATATGGTTTGTCATGTTTAGTGCAGTTGAAATATGTACTGCTGTGATTTCCTTCGCGCCTTCTGGTGAGAGGAGTTTTGAAAATACTGTTATTTGTTTTAGCTACTATGTTCTGAGTTTTTAATATTCCAAGTGGAAAAGTCAGACTAACGTAGGCATATACTCTCTTCTCGAAGTTCGAAGTGTACGGTTTCTCGTCGTTTCCGAGCTTGATGTCGCAGGTCAAGAACGAAAGAAAACTACGGTAATAAAAACGGGTGGTTCCGTCAAACTTGGCTAAATCACTGAAGCCTTGTTTGGAAACTGAATAAAATGCAGACGGGGATATTTATTGAACGACATCCATATTTCATGAGAATGGCATTAGGATGATCGGGATGAACATGAAAAAAGAGTATCCACTATGATAATCTCTTCCCCAATATTCTGGTGGACATTGTCCTTTAACATCTATTTGACCGAGTATTTTTGGTAACTATTCTCTCTGACGCGGTCATATATAGTTTGACTTTGAACGTATGCAATTTAACATTTTTTTCTCTACATGTTTACTGGTCATTTGCGAAAACTCTTGGTTTATATATAGGATAGAAACCTTGATGCATTTATGTCAAGTTCTGCTGGTTTCATCAAAACTCGTGTTTCGACTCGTTTCAGTGTTCAAGACACGACGAAATCAGGAGTTCCCTGCAGATATATCTTGGCCTTACTCGGATTCTGGGGTTTCGTGTTCAACTATGCTCTCAGAATCAACATAAACATTGCATTGGTTGCGATGGTCAACTACACAGCAATCGAACACATCGACTTATCTACCACCCATGCCGACGAATGTGCTGATTCGAATTCCGTGCTTGTGGATACCGAAGTCGTGTTGCCATCGAATGTGACAAAAATTCCGAAAGGCTTCCAAGAGGTTAGTGCGGGAAAATGTAACTTTTCAAAATATGTTTTGGGTCTTATATACAACCGTATTACAATATACTCGTGTGCTTGTGCGCTGTATTTTTACTCGAGTTTAGTATTTCCTGCGCAAATAGAAGCATACATAAGACGCATCGTTAGTGTCTCTGCATGGATGGAACCACGAAGCGAAGGAAAATGAATGTTTATGCTCAAGTGTTGCTTAGCGATCATTGTACTCGAGAATCTCATTTCAGTATTCAGTGTATCGGCGGAGTTTCGCATTTAATTTTCCAAATGCGAAGTAGCCGTCCGCCGATTGCGGAGAATGACTCGCGCTTTTTCGGTGTCGAGTTTCATTAGATCCTAATGACACTTTCCATCATGATGTATGATGGATTGCCTTCGTACATTCAACAAGAGTCAATCTTGAAATTAAATTCTTCAGTTTGTCTAAAACTGCTATTAGGATAGAGAGGAGACGCTGGGAAACTGCCGAACTCAAAGCGTGGAAGTCCAATTTTTTCACAAATACGAGGGTTCTATCAAAATTTATCGGAATAAAAATTAAAATGGCTCGTGATTGAGCTGCAACAAATGAGTCTGAAAAAAAAAGATTTTTTCCAGAGAGCAAAATTTTGCTGACGAAGGTTACATCGTGCAGTATAACAAACTTGATGCACATTATGCATGCATGGCCAACTATTTTTTTCATTATCCGAATATTTTTCAATCCTAGTTGTATTGGTTTATCAATGATCATCTCAATTACATCGGATCGTGTTACAAAATGTATGCCATTGAGTGAAACGTTGATTTCTTTCCTGAATTTTGCCATGAGTTAAGCTACTTGTAGAAAATTGTCGTAGTAGCAATTCATTTTAGAACCCCTCTGCTCAGACTTTTCTTCCGATTGCCTTTGAAGACGTGTTCAACAATGAGTTCAGTTCAATACAGTATCCTGGTTTGCAATTGCTACAGTTTGCCGCACATATAGTTGCAAGAAGCCAAATTTGGCAAATAAGTGAGTTTAGGAAGCTATAGATTCATCTTTTCTCTGACGATCCAATTTTTCATTGCTCTGTATTATAATGGATACAGCATATGACAGAGCGAAGTGTCAAAAGTTTGTTATATGACAGTTCTAAAAAAAATTTTGCAACAGAAAGTATGAAAAAATTAGTAAATTTTTGACCAGGCTCGCATCTGCAGCTAACTTTTTTCCCAACTCTGAGCCGTTTTTTATGCGGCGAACAGCATCAAAAGTCTCATTTTTTGAAGAAAAACTTGAAAATCACTTAATCTCTTTTACCCATTTGATCTGGTGAATTCTTGCGACTGTGCTTTATGATAAATAAGAGTATCATTGTTTATCCCCTTGTTTAATTTCAGGGAATTTAGTACTTTTCATGTGAAGAGTGATCAAATGTCCGATCTCACTCCTAAAATTTGAGTTTGGATTCTTCCTAGCATGC